TTCATCCTAACACCTCTCATTACAACAGAACTAATATTTGTGTTAAAGTAAGCTTTTTGTTCTTGTCCGTATGCAGCACCGGCACTTAAAAAAAAAAAAACATTTTTTTTCAATGCGTCTGTAGTAGACACTTTATGGTGAGTATCAGCACTTTGTTAGACACTTTGTGGTAAGTCCCCCCTAACCTGGTTATTTTAGCTTCACTTGTTTAAAAAAAAAAGTAAAATATATAACAGGCAAGATAACACAACACAGAAACGGGAATTTAAAAGTAAACAGAAACATACATGACATTGACCATGTTACAATCAATACCATTAGTATTGGGATTAACCATGTTTGCTTATAATTTCATTTCACAATAAATACACGGACAGGAATAAATAGTTCTACTGGATAATTAAGTTAAAAATACACGCATGGGCCCAAAAGAACACACCAATATAGATACAGTGTAAATGACTCTTTTTCAAAGGGTATATGATGCCAGACCGATAACTGGCACTCCATCAATGATGTGGTCAACATCACACCAGCCCCCTTTACTTCCCGGGTCTTTACCTGTTACCCATTTTAGGCTGGGTCAGCCTGGCAGTCAAGGCCATTAACAAAAAATACAAAATCTGATTCAGTACAGACTGGAAGCTAGGACTTTCAAGCCAGCCGGTGAGGGTCTAACTGTTACACTACAGCGGCTCCCAAAAGACACGCAGAATGCTTTCAAATGAATAGATCTTCACCTGTTTTCCACATCTTGCATTTCACAGCAAATAAATGAATGAATGAATCACAGGACATTCTCACAAACGCTCCATGCCCCTCTTCAGTAGCCAACAAAGAGTCAACATGCTATTAGTATACCAGCTGCAACCTGATTTAAAAGTCCGCCTATGTTTTCCCTTCAGTGTTGAATATCTTCCAGAACCTCTCCTCACCTCTGCTGAATGAGTCTTTCAACATATTGATTCCCCGTCTGTTCTATTGCACATGTGATTTCAAGACAGTTTTCACCATGTCATGGTGAACAAACATTTCTTCAAACATAAAACTTAAGTAAGCACCTTTCTCGCTCATTAAAATACAGACAGACATCTAGTTAATAAAATATGAACAATTCTGTCTTGCATAGTTATACATGGAAATGAAAAAACATGTTTACTTTCCCCTTCTTTGGTTCAGTGTCTCTCCATTTTTTTTTCTCCTTCAGCTTCTCTTCTATTCTAAAGCAAAGAGGTACCCTTTAGCTTTGCTTTTTCCTACCACACAGCATGGAGGTATCTTAGTTTTACTGCAGCATTTTCTTTGTTTACCCAGGGCATGGATATTTCAGCGGTCTCAGCTTTTAAACCCTGAAGTGTATAGATAACTCAGGATCTTGTTGATCTTCCTTTTACCTTCTTCTTTCGAGTTTAGTTGTACTTAATAAAAGTCCTATGGTTGGGAAAAAGTTGCTTTCAGGCAAGCATCACATTGCTTAGGTAGGTGACGAATGCCGCCCTAAAAAAAGGACTGGTTGCTTACTTAACCATGTGTCTATCATGTTTATTACGTCTGTATCTGTGTGAAATTATTTCCCCCTTTGAGAGCTTTTAGAAGTTTATTCTTGATGGTTTTATGCAGCTGTCTAGTGTTTCCAAGTAATGGGTAGAGTTGATGCTGACACCGGGTGCTTTGCAAGTCTGCCAACAACAGCCCTTTATTGTTAACAAACAAAAGCAATGCACCTAGCATTACCTTACCAGTTGAAACCCGTAACTTGAAATTGTTAGGCTTTTGGTGATCCACTGCATGCTTTCTTCCGCTGCTAAGGCTTGAAGTGGTTGACACCATGATTCATTGCCTGCCATTATGCATCATCCTCTGCTCCCTAAGGCAGCAGCAAGTGGTTCTAAAACCATCCTATATATTTCTTTATTTGGTGGTTGGTCAACATTTGTGGTAGCTACTGCGAACACACCTTCCCATAGTGCAGCCTCTTAAGAACACCCTTCTGAACTGTCCCAATTAACATATGAAATGGTTTGCTAGCAAGCATAGGCCTCGATAACAGTCACCTCTATTGCTGCATTAATTTTGGCGATTTTTTAAATTTCTGGTGCAACATAATGCCCTTGACCTGGCCATGGAAGATCTGTTGTGAACTCGTGTACTTTCCAAAACATTCAAGCCCAGTCTGTCACTGCTGTATCTGACACACACTGGTTACTATGAGCCGGCTGCATTCTTTGGCGAATGTCCACTGGTCGGTATCCCTCAAACAAAGAAACTAAATTAATTCTCTTTGACCTTCTTTGAAAGGATCTGGATCAAGTTTGCCATTTTCTCAATGGTCAAAAACAGAACTTATGCATCATGAGATGATAAACATGTGCTCTTTCATGCATTGGTTAGCACTTATCACATGACTACAACATGATTATGTTCAATGCTGCAATTACACAGTGCGACTTCAAATGAACGCTCCAAATAGTATGTAGTTCAGAGGTGCGCTGCAGCTGTATTCTATTCTGACTGAATTATCCACACGCGCTCTGATTCACATTTAGTGAGACAATTTAGCTTTCTTGTGGCTGCTAACAGGTGCCTACTTTAACGTAAAGACCTAAACAACCAGGCAAAACAATAGCACAACACACATAAGCCAGGCAAAACAATAGCACAACACACATAAGCCAGGCAAAACAATAGCACAACACACATAAGCCAGGCAAAACAATAGCACAACACACATAAGCCAGGCAAAACAATAGCACAACACACATAAGCCAGGCAAAACAATAGCACAACACACATAAGCCAGGCAAAACAATAAGACAACACACATAAGCCAGGCAAAACAATAGCACAACACACATAAGCCAGGCAAAACAATAAGACAACACACATCAGATGGGCAAAATGATATCACAACACATGTAAGTCTGACAACATAACATGTCACATGGGAAAAATGATAACACAACACATGTAAGCCATGCAGAACAATAATACAACACACCTCAGATGAGCAAAATGATAACACAACACATGTAAGCCATGCAGAACAATAATACAACACACCTCAGATGAGCAAAATGATAACACAACACATGTAAGCCATGCAGAACAATAATACAACACACCTCAGATGAGCAAAATGATAACATAGCACATGTAAGCCATGCAGAACAATAATACAACACACCTCAGATGAGCAAAATGATAACACAACTCATGTAAGCCAGGCAGAACAACAACACATACAAAATGATACAATATAACAATTTCAGATACAATTTTTATGCAATTTACAACAGTGAAGACATCAGACGACCACTGTCATTTTTATGTTAAATAACATCATGTAAACAGGAGCACAATTAGTAAATCACAACAAGTTTGACAGCCACTTCTGACACTTTACATCAGGGCTATTCAACTAGCAGCCGGCGGAGGCCCAGCAAGTGGCCGGTGAATCACTGCCAACTGTATTGTATTCATGATCCTTTTATGCTGGGACCTCAGGCCTGTGACGATCTGCTTTCAAAATGTTGACCCCTGGGTAATCTTTATTTAGAAAGCCCTCCTTTACACAGACAGGCTTTTCATCATTCGCTGTCTATACTTTACACTAATGACAAAGCTAACACTATTGGCTGATATAACTGGTGGCTGCTGTATCAGTCGGTGGCGTATACTTTACACCAGTCACATTCATCAGTATGTGATGTGCACTTTACACAAGTGACCTGCATCAGTCAGCGATGTGCACTTTACGCCAGTGACCTGCACCAGTCGGCGATGTGCACTTTACACCAGTGGCCTGCAACAGTCAGTGATGTGAACTTTACACCAGTGCCCTGCGACAGTCAGTGATGTGAACTTTACACCAGTGATGTACACTTTACACCAGTCACATTCATCAGTCTGTGATGTGCACTTTTTGCAAGTGATCTGCATCAGTCAGTGATGTGCACTTTACACCAGTGACCTGCACCAGTCAGCGATGTGCACTTTACACCAGTGGCCTGCAACAGTCAGTGATGTGAACTTTACACCAGTGCCCTGCGACAGTCAGTGATGTGAACTTTACACCAGTGATGTACACTTTACACCAGTCACATTCATCAGTCTGTGATGTGCACTTTTTGCAAGTGATCTGCATCAGTCAGTGATGTGCACTTTACACCAGTGCCCTGCATCAGTCACAGTCATTTATTTCTTGGCGACATTATTTCCAGTTTTAATACCATAACCGGGCTGTCACCCTGATGTCCTTGAAAAAGAGGGCAGGTTAAACTGACCGGCTTGGGATGTACCATTTTTAGCTCAAGATATTATGGTCAGTCTATTCATTAAATACTGAGCATGTGCCGCAGACATGCTTCCCACTGGCAGTAAGAAGACCCCACGCCTGGTCATTAGCATTACGGTAGAAACCAAGCTGTGTGGATCAGCGGAGAAACATGTCTCAAACTACACAGAGAACTGTGGCTTCATCATCTCAGAACTACTGGCTGGGAGAATGAGAAGAAAATAACAGTCACAGGGTTTTTTCTCTTTTTTTTGCCACAAAGTGTTTATTACAGTAGAGCTGAAACAAATGAGGCCCATAAAAGGTGCCGGTACCCACCACAATGTGTTTATTACAGAAGAGCTGAAGAAATGAGACCTATAAAAGGTGTCAGTACTGCATACTGTTGCGTACCATCAAAAAAAAAAAAAGGCCCTGGTCATCCCAATGATACTTCTAAATCAGATATTGCAAAATTAATTACTCAGAATTACATCTTATCAAATGAATGATGCACAAACAACAATGAACACAAAAAACAAGGTGGGAAATTTAAAAAAAAACATCAGATATATCACAAGTCTCAGGCTACTGAAACATCTTCATAGAATTCATCAAACCTAAACAAAAAAAATAAAATAAAAACGAAGAACTTATTCACTGCTCTGTTACATGTTCCTTCAGCGTTGACAAGATGCACCTAAACATGAAAAAGCACAAGGGACAGCTAACCACAGCAGCCAGATTTGGCTGGTGGTTGTTCTGTTGAGTCATCCACCACTAAAATATTACTTTTCCTGCTGGTACTGCCTGGTCGACCCCGAGCCACGCCTTCCTCACTTTTCTCTATCATACCTGCAAGCAAGCAGAAAAATATATTCACACAGCTGCATAATTTAATTCTAGTTTCAAAATTGCTATTATTTACATGCTTATGTGCCCAACATTTTTTTCCCTTCAAAATTCAGGTGCAAAGTTCTGGTTGTTCATTTGTTTCTGGACTAGTTTTGTTACAGAACGTTAATTTTCCACGTTACTTCTGGACTTTAGTTTTGTTTCAGAATTTGAGTTCCGCGTGCATATCCAGTTTACAAATCTGGCTTATCTGTACAGAGACTGTTAGTTCTTCCTCTCTCGGGAAGATGCACCCCGACTTCGAAGGAAGCACCGAAAATCTTTCTAGGATGACCAAGGAAAGATGTGGATAAGTCTGATCACTTTGTGCCCTAGTCCTGGGGAACCATCAGATGTTGTAGTTCAGCACCTCTGTACCCCTTTCATGGAATGATGTGCATCATATCAAAGATAAAAAATCCCTCATCAGAAGAGAGAGAATGCTGTCGTGCTGTACTTATTCCCCTTCTTCAATTCTACATTTACTAATTTACTCTCAGTTCCCCGTGTTGGTTCTGGGGTCCCATTTGTGGAGGGGGTGATGAGACTAATTTCCCCCATCAAACATGTCATTAAAGGGCAACTAATTAAGAGTCTGTTGAAATTGGATGTGTTGGGCTGAAAAGTGCACATATCGCAGCCTATCTTGTAAACCACAACAGTCGTGTTCCAGAACCTAAGTGTTGCATGTGCATCCGTTTCACAGATCTGACTAATTTGTACACAGACTATTAGTTCCTTGCTTCTCAAGCAGATGCACTCTGACTTTGAAGAAAGCTCCCAATTAGTCGACTCCGACGCCATGCTTTTGGATAGGCAGTGAGTCTATTCTTGTTTTCCCCAAAAAGGGGCCCCGGAACCTACACAAGGAATTTACTACTGTTGATGAGGATTGTGCTTTTGACAGAGGCAATGGATTGTTAATGGCTATTCAGTCATAAGTAAAGGGATTATTTTATCTCCATCATCAATTTCTTCTTCTTCTTCAGACTTACATAAATTCAAAACAGTTTTTCCTGCAGTGAACTAAAAAATTAGACACACACAACAGAATGCAACATTTATTGCCTGGCATATATGATTGTATCCAATTTTACTAAAGTTAACATCAACATTTAATGAAGCAGAAAACATGAATCCTTCCCAAAGAAATAAACATCTCGCTAACAGAACTTTAAGATTAACCATGTATTAATCACTGAAGCCTACAAATTAACCATGAAATCTAGTTTGTTTACACAATGCAAGATTGTCCATCTTAATTGTCACAGCTTCTGCCAGTTAGAAAAATAAGATAACCACAATAAAAGCAGTTGTTTCATATTTGTGACATCCTCTTTTTCATGTAAGGTCACAGAAGATGCCAATTCTGTTCATACTCGGTCTGCTTCTGCCTTTTATCTCCCAATGAAGCATAGGCACTGAACCAACTGCAAAAACATCAATACTCAAAACTTGTCTGCTTCTCTCAGCCTGCAGTCAATTGTTCATCAAAACTTTGATGAAATCTGACTTTAAATATCACTATAATTTACACTTTTTGCACAATCTGGGTGCTACAAACATGGTCATAACAATGGCAAAACAAACATAACATCAAGCACTTACTTTTGCTCAAGTCTAAAAACATTTCTTCAATCCCGCGTCCCATCTTTGCAGATGTATGGTAGTGTTTGGCTCCCACGGATGCTGCATACCTGCAGATTGTGTCAATACATGGTGTTCCTTAAGTTTTCATACACAGCAAAAATAAACATTGCTCTACATGACTGACCACCATTCTTTTGAAAACATGTTTTCATATTGTCCTTCGCTGCTGAAGAAGTATAAGCACAGCTGGAGTTGTGCTTGTAATAGCATTTGTGATATGTTTATCTTCCCTATGTCAAACTAGTGGACGTAAATTTGTCTAGAGAAACCACACAACAGCCAGGGGCTGCTGGGGTTGGTTCTGCAACGTCTGGTAAAGGATACGCAACTACTCCTTTATCTTCCCCATGTACGGAAACCTGTGGGATACCCTGTACACTGATTTTGTGCAATGAGGATAATCTGTTGACTAACTAACTACACAGTCTAGCTTTTTGACTGACAGATAAGCTCCGTGTGTGTGTGTGTGTGTGTGTGTATTCCTGCAGGTGGGGAGAGGTAAAAATGAATAAACAAGAACATCCCTGCACTAGTATGTACAGCTGTCAGTGAGTATACAACACATCACCAGTGTCAACACAGCTAGGAAATGATAACCTGACGCTGAACAATCAGGACAGAAGCTAGGGACAAAGAAAAATGTATGGTGATAATCTCAGGTCAAGACAGAGATAGCAAAGATGATAACAGATTGTAAATGCACAAGAGGAATGGAGATAAAAGTTGTGAAACACACCGGATGTCTTCTAAGATGGCTGAATATATGTTGTAGCAAAAACTTCATCATTCTATAGGATCACAAAATCTGACTTTATAAAGTACATCAACACACAATGTAGTCTATTTATATAATATCCTGTTCAACCCTCTATGCTATAATCTGGTTATATAGTGTTATTTCAGTTTAGGGTTTTAAAAATGTGTAAACATAAAAAGATGTTTAAAAATGCTGAGGTTAGAGCAGATATGAAAATTACAAAAAACTTAAAACTGGTTAAGGATCTAAATGCTAAATCATGGTATCAATACAGTAGTGTGCTAATCCAGCAATTCCCAGTTAGCTACACGTGCGACCCGCCCCTCCCGTTTAAAAACAAAATAGTTGTGCCACAGACCCCATACTTTTTAAACTAAAGAACTGGAATTGAAAAAAAAAAGGAGGGGGGGGGGGGGGGGGGGGGGAACTGCATTCTAATTATGAGTCTGTGTGTGTTTGTGTGTAAATAATTTCACATATATATGATTAAACAGCATTAAAAGTATGGTTAAGCAGCAGCAAGGAAATCAAAATTAATATATTTGCAGCAGGCATCTTCCCTGTAGCAACATATGGATGTGAGAGTCGTGGTCTATCTCCCAGTCCTTAAGAAAGAAAATATGGGCTTTTGAGCTGAAATGCTATAGATTCTCAGAATACCATGCACAAAGAAGAGAAGAAATACTGACAGTTTAAAAGATCTGAACATCATGGAAGTTTGGCTAATAAACAGCATCTTGCCTCGGAAGCTGAAATATTCTGGCCATATCAAGCCCTACGGCAGACTGGAAAAAATAACAGCAGAAGGCATGGTACCAGGAAGGAGGGGCAGGGGTCGACCAGCACGAAGATGGGCACAGCATAAGAGACATACAGACAGAGAAAGAGACATACAGACACAGAGAGAGACAGACAGAGAGTGCATGACTACTTAATTAGGACAACTACTACTACTTACTGTTCTGCCTCATCCACTGTCACATTTCTGTTTTTTTCCATATCTGTTTTGTTCCCTGCTATACACAAACATACATCCTGTCCCAGCATCCTCCGTAGCTCCTTGACCCAGTTCTTGACCTGGTGTTAGGGGTCAAATAGGAAATAACATCATTGTTATAAAATAATGCAACAGTTATTGTCTGATGGTTTGCTCATGTCACAACACAAACTACAAGCCATAATTATTACAGAGATTTCTCCATACATAACTCTGAATAACTCAAGCGAACGAAAGAAGAAGAAGAAGAAATTGATTAGAACTTTGCGCCGTCTACTGAAGATGAGGATGGAGCATGCATGGGAATGCCCTGAGTGCTGTGATGTCAATTCTTGACTCAACACACTGAGGTTATTAAATCTCAGGATGATATTGTGAACCTTTAGATGACAGCCTGGGAGGAGAAGGATATATCCATCGACCGACTGACCCCATGCGGATGGATAAATCGAAGCAATTAACATATTATTGCATGTAATGCACACAAAGGCTTTGAATAGAAAGCCTTTCCTAACCTTACACTTGACAAGAGGTGACAAAAAACACTGAGGTACTGAGAACTGCAAGCGACAATAGCTCACTCGTCAAAATCATATGGGAAGGACATATATACATTTTGGTTCAAATCAAAAGAATAAGTTCTCCATGTGGGTTCTGAGGTATCATTTTGGGAAAAAATTAACTGACCAACTGCCCTTTCCCCCCCCCCCCCCTTCCCCCACCAAGCATGTCATAAAAGTTTACCAATTAGCAGTGTTTCCTTCAGAGTCAGAGCACATCTACTTACAAGGCGAAGAACCAACAGCTTGCGTACAAACATGTGCAAAGCTCAAATTCTAGATCAAGACAAAAGTCCACTGCTGGACTTTGTTCTCCAAAATGGCACCCATTTAGGTTCTTCCTGTGCTTAGAGACAATGAAATGTTTTTCTGCGTTGTCTCAGGTTTCTCATTTGCTTACTGGTAATGAGTGCTAATGTAATGACTGACAAAGAGAAAGGAGGAAAGCAAAGGAGACTTGAAATATAAAACACGCCTGACCTTTTGGAAGGAGTCTTCATCTGTGATGTCATAGACTAAAATAGCACCATTGCTATCTCTGTAGTAGATGGGACCCAAGGCATGAAATCTCTCTTGACCAGCTGTGTCCTGTAAATAGACACATTTCTGTATCACCCTGATGTCTAACACGGTTTCAACAGGGTGTTTGTTAAAGATATACTCTCTCTCTCTTTCTCTCTCAGCAGTTAACCTCATGCTCTGAGGGTCATTGGTTTGTTTCAAGGCTGCATTGCTCGGTTCACGAGGTCAGTTTTTAACAGAGACACCTGGGGACTGTTGCAGGAGCTACAGTGTTTGTGCTCTAAACTTTAATTTTTTTGAGTTCCACTGTCTCTTTCTCTCATACAGATGTATACACTCAGCTGATATTGCAAATGGGTGTGAATTTATTACGGTCTCCCATGTTCTGGGTCATGACATTATGAGATGGGTTGATCATTTCTCCTCATCAACTATCCTCCCCCAAACAAAATTCTAAAAATTTCTGAACCATACGATGGAAAAAATAACATAGCTAGTTCAAATGATATATGTAGATCTTTGGCCTATTTTCACACTTTCCTTTGCAGATTAATCTTACATACACATACAGGTGTACTCATACATACATACCCAACATGCAGATGTATATTCACACATACATATACACACACTCATTTATAGATATGCACAAAAACCAACAAACGTTCTGAGTAAAGATTTTATTAGGGCTGTACCGAACTATTCAGTATTTGGCCGAATAGTTGTGGTCGGGCCGAATACGAATAGTGGTTACCTTACACCCGTTTCTGGACTGGTGGAAAATAAACATCAAGATTTCCCACCTTCGTTCATACTGTCAAGCGTTATCTTTATCTTTGTGCACCATCTACTAGCGTACCAAGTGAACGTCTGTTTAGTACAGCTGGAAATACCTTCAGTGAGACAAGAAGCTGCCTTAATGCTAACAACATGGAACAATTTTTTTTTTAAAGCTGAAGCCGCTTTCATGCATTAACTAAGCTGTCAGTGACAATTTACAAGTTTAGTAACTTGTTATAAAACTAAGAATACTTTCATTCCTAGGTATTAGGTACCACAGACTGACTGACTGAAGGATGCAAAACATGAAATGTTTTTAAATGTTTACTATTCTGTACTACATTTTGTGAAGTAAAATTTCAGCGTACATTTGACATTATGGATTTTTTTTTTTTTTTTAGATCTACGAAAGTGGAAGAATGGGCCTTAGTTTGAATAGTGGGAAGACAAAGTAACAAAGACAATAATTATTTCTAAATGTGTAATAAAAGTCAATGGTTTTATTTTGGGACAAGCACAGAAATTTGAGTATCTGGGCACATGGAAAACATTAGATGGAAGATGCATTACTGAAGTAAGAAACAGAATAGGACAGACAAAAATTGCATTTTATAAAATGAAGAACATCTTATGCAATATATCTTTGTCATTGAAGGTTAGAAAAATAATTCTTGCTTGCTACATACATCCAGTTTTATCATATGGCTGTGAGTCCTGGACAATCGGTTGGCAGGCCAAACAATTTCTTGAGGCCTCAGAGATGTGGTTTTACAGAACAATGCTTAAAATACCTTGACAGCCCAAAAAAAAAAAAAAAAGCAACCAAGAGGTGTTGATAGAGGCGGGAACCCGAAGACAACTACTCACAGACATCAGAAGGAGAAAGTCATCATTTTTAGGCCATGTTAAAAGATGAGGGAAAATGGAACATGTCGTGACCACTGGAAAGATATGTGGAAGGAGCGATAGAGGAAGACAACGAGAGAAGATTCTTGACAGTCTTGTTGCATGGAATGGATGTGTGTCAGCACACGAACTAATACATGTTGCAGGAAATCGCAGATTGTGGCGAGGCATAATCGCCCATGCCAGTCGGCAAAGCTTTTAATGATAATGATTAACTATTCGTATTCGGCTGAATAATTGGTCCAGCGCTTTGTATTTGGCCAAATAGTGAAAATCACTATTCGGTACAGCCCTAGATTTTATCAACGTGCACTACAGCAATAACCCCAGCCCTATCTATCTCTCACCATGGCGGCATACTCTAACAGGCTGATGTTTCGTTTCCACATAAGTATTATTTTTTAAACAGTGCCGTGTCTTGGAATGTGGCCAAATTATTTCACACGCCCCGTAAAAAATTTTAATAAACCTTTTTCTTTCTGATTTATTCTCTGTTTGATGTTTAAATAACAAATCAACATCATTGCACACGGGTAGCACCCAAAATGCTCCGTTCTCCTTCTACCTCAAGCCCAAATTTTTGTCAGGGCAGCGCCGTTAAGCTACTCTTTTCAATTTCCAACTGCCAAGGGATTTTTGTTATGTGTGCAAAAATGCAAACGGGCGTCCGATCTCAACTACCCAGAGACCAGGCGGAATTACTAGAAGTCCAAGTCTACGTGAAAAAATCCTAACCCTTACCAGGGATTGAACTTGGAACCTCTAGCACTCGAGGCGGACACCATGCCTCGAGACCACACAGCCACCCCCCCCCCTTACTAGCAGCTCTGTATATCCTTATTATTTGTTGGGCTTTAATTAAACTACCCAGTTGCTTGTTTATAGCCCACGCTTCTCACCATTTGGTATTTACCATGTGATTTTTTTTCTAGAAAACTAAAAGGTACCAGTACTGACCCCAAAGTGACTTTAAGAATGGTACTGGTACCCACACAATGTCTATTACAGCAGCACTGAAAAAATAAATGATGCATAAAAGGTGCCAGTACTATGTACTAGAAAAAAAAACCGTGGTGTTTACACATAACGTGATAAATGTGTACAAATCAGCAATAAAATAACAAGACAACAAAAACAAAGTATTAATAAAAGGGAAATAGCTACAATACAATTATTTGTGGTCTTGATTTAAGAAATAAATAATGTAGTGAACAACAAAACAATCAGTATACATACCCATATTGCAAGATTAACTCTTTTCCCACCAATGTTCAACTTTTTACTTAAGAATGATGCCTGTGTGTGGTAATGAAAAATAAAAAGACAAATTTTACGATCATAAACTCTCAAACCTAATGTCAAGAAAAACTAAGACACTTACTGAGTTATCGTGTGATCTTGTAAAATGTCATCATCATCATTATCCCAGAGAGCTGACAGTCTGGCCCTCCATTCTTTTCTATTCTGTGCAATCCTGTTGATATCATAAACGGAATCCTCTCCAACCTCCTTCAAAAACCTTTCAGGGTTTCTTTTGAACATTCTCATTTTCTCAATCGAGTTGTTTCCCATTTCAATACTTGTAACACTTCTTCTTTATCTATCGTTTTTGTCACATTCTTAAAAAAAAAAAAATCTACTTCTGCTGCCTCCAGTTTCTCTACTATTTCATTACTCATAATCCACACCAATAAATAGATTACAAAATATGCTGATTAATATAATTATATAAAAAGTACACTTAAAATATATTCAATGTAGCAATCTATATACTTCTTTAATCTGTTTCAATTCTTACTTTATCTATACAATATTTAAACAATCAAAAGTAACTGAAAAACACTAATGTACATTACTGAAATATACAACAATCTTAACTCAGATGGATTGAACAGGATACTGCCATTTAAATTTATAATACTACTACACTAGTACAAAAGAACAATCCACATACATTTTTCCTTAAGTGGAGTTATATATTTGTTAAAGTCTATTTTCACAATACTGTTCACTGTTGTAAAACAATCTCTAGACAGCAGAAAGAGTACATACATGATAAAAAGTGGAACTTAGCTTTATTAAATCTTACAAGACATTTGTTATTGCTAGAGATTAACATCTGACTGATATAAATGAACAAATAGGGTTACTCAAAGCTATGCAGATAAGTATGCAATAGTTAAGTTATGATCTACATTATAAATGATCACTAGTAAAAGAGGATGCAAAAAGGAGAATGACAACTGCCAGTGTTATAAATTCAGGAATGGATCACAATATGTTTCTCACCATGACACTAAATGGAAACAGGTTATTGAAAAGAAAAGCCTAGTTGAAAAAAACCTGGCAAAGGGACATATTCCGACTAAAAAGCATACTGATGACACATGTTTCAAGAAACCAGTTGGTACAGACATCTGTAGAATTTTGAGCAGCATAAAATTAGCTAGGCTCCCAGTGGAGAGACATAATTAGAAAGATGTATAAAAAAGATTGGCAACTATGAACCTCTTTTAATTACAGGGAAAGAAAAAAAACACACAATGGTATGGACATGTAATAAGATCTAATCGCTTCTCAAAAACAATACTACAGGGAACAGTAGAGGAGAAGAGGCAGACCAAGACAGACTTAGATACAGGTCTGACTGGACAGGCTTTAGGCATGCAACCATGAAGTCCATTGCATGAGATCATCGAAGGTGAAAGGAGCTGATCAGACAGGCAACAGCAAATGGTGACCCGACACGCAGTGTTACAGGATGATGATGACATCTGTCGACTCTTACTGTTTGCTTGTTTGTCTTACTGTGTGACAGCAATGGTTCAGAAGTTTCTTGATTAAATTAAAGATCCTACTTTTTATATAAAAAGTTCAAAAATCCACTACCACAGACCCAATTCATAAGAGTGCAATGATCATACAGAAAAGCCAGGTTTGATGCACGCTTCCCATAAGTGTTGCAAAAAGTGCCCCGGGGCATTCATGTGAACAGTGCCACTGTCACAGACGGAAATCTAATATGCAGAGGAAGTGGTGATGCCTATCATGCAGGGAATCAGAGTCTCAGGTCTGCAGACAGATACCTAAGTGTCGCATCCTTCTTCTTCTTCGATCCTTCTGTCAGAAAACTTATATCAGGAGGCCGGTAGCCTTTATGAAAGCTATCGTGCAATCCATATCCTCTTGTGTACCATACAGTTTTGTCTTCAGTGTGGTTGGAACAGGCCAGAATGCGTCTCTGTTGTCAGCATACAGTTGACAGTGTTGGAGCACATGCTCAGCATTTTCGGGTGCCACGCTGCAGGGACACGTCTCCGTATTTCCTACACCAAAAAATTTGAACATATGTTGACGAAATCTGTTGTGCCCTGTCCTTAGTCTGAATATAATACACTGTCCCTCTCTAGAGAGGCGATGAAGTGAGTCTTGGGGAGAAAATCTGGTGTGGGTATCCAGCCACCTTTCTTGGATACTAGCTTGTATTAGTGTTTTCATCTCTTGGTGGGTTAGGTCGCTATTTGGTTGTACCATGTCACTGCCGCTTCTGGACAATCTGTCCGCTATATATATGGATGTGAGGTTAAGAATTCATGTAGAGGAGGTGACGATTCCTTGGGTGAGCCCAGTATAAGAGCACTATGTATCAATGCTGCATTAAAGGAAGCCTCCCTGGGTGGCAAGAAATCTCCATGCTCTGACTTTCCTTGAGGGTTGACCAACTTGCTGCCCTAAATAGGTCCTTAAGGAACAACACCTGTGGGTCACGGGATGATAAAGTCACTACACACACAAGGTTACAAATGTCCCATGAAACTAACCAAGAAGGTTAACCCTGATAAAAAGTTGGATGTGTTCGCCAAAAAGTGCAGACACAAAATATTTATGTTGCATCGGATAAACAACAAAGACGTGTGAAACAAGTGTTCTGTTATGCCATGATGCCAATCTCTGTCTAGCAGCTTCTTTCTTATCTTCCTCTTTCTCTCCCTTCCCCTCCAGTTCTCTTGTTGTCAAAAAATGTAGACTATTTTGTTTCTATTAATTCAGGTAACTGGTACTTAAAGGTAAATCTAAACAGGTAACATTTTTGGGAATAATTCAACCCCACTTATAAAAAAATAATAGAAGTGAACATCTAAATAGTAACAATAATAATCTAATGATAAAATAAGAGATATGTCGGGACAACCATTTATAACAATAGTTATTACAAAAAACCGGCAATGTAATGGGCACATCGTGAGGGGAAGAAGACAGAGAATCACTAACCAGGCATCGAAATGGTAAACTAATGGAACGAGGATGTCTAAGAGAAACAACCCTAATTTAGGCACTGTTGAGGCTGACCTTGACATCTTCTACCAATCTGTAAGTAAAGTAAAGGACCTTTTTCCATGCCTTTCGGCGTATAGGGCTAGATCTATATTTTATAGACCAACGGCACAAGATGGGTTATGTGGTCAGCATCACGCTGGCCGCCTCTACTTCTAGGGACTGCTCCCGGTACCCACTCAAGGCTGGGTCGACCTGGGAGCCCAAGTCATTTTTGAAGAGAAGTCTGGCTTTGCCAGGTAGCGAATCCATGACCTTCCGATCCGCGGCGTGCGTCTAGCTGCTCTGACACGGCGACTTTCCTACCAATCTGTAATTCACTATAAATCCCTAGGAATGCTAGCAACCTCCATTCTCCATGTGTGAATAACAACTGAAAAAAAAAAATAATAAAAACATACAAATGGCTAAGTCATACAAAACACAAGACACTACACTGTGGATAATGTAATGGTAATAGGGTGGCAACCACAGAACAGCTTTTTCTAATTGCAATAATATACCGAATAATTACATGTAAATCAATATCACAGATGGCAAACTAGTACTACTCTCTGCATCATAATTATCGTAATTTTGCAACAGATTATTTCAGTTCAGTATCTCTAGCTGAGGATCAGGACACAATCATTAGTCAAACTATGGTTACTAACCCAAACTAAGTAAATTATCACAAGTCAAAAGAAAAGCAAGTGAAAGGAAAACTTAAGTTTCCTCCTCCCACTATCAGTTGTAAACAAAATGTATCACCTGTAACGTTGTTATATGTTTGTCGTTAAATTTATTCTCCACGTATCTCAGCACCAGCGACGTCTTGCCGACACATCCTTCTCCCAACAAGACAACTTTAAAGTTATAGTTCCGAGCTCCGCCTGCAGCTGTAGCTGAAGCCATAGTTCCACTACACTACTACTTCTTCACAACTTTTCTCTTTTCAATTAAAGTAAAAATCCAAATAAAAGAACAGTTTTTACAAATTACGTAAACTTCATCCTTTGATTTCACACAAACACACAGAAAGGACGATGTAAATCTCAGAAAACAGTTGAGAAAATGTAGAAGAAGAAAACTGGACAATAAAACCGCAGCCAGGTATTTCCTCGTCTGCTCTCCCTCCTACGTCACTGATCACGAGGATGCCGCTTACACCTCGGACATATTCATAACAATGACTTTTTATCGTCACACTGCAACTGATTTTGATAAACGGACTTTTTATAGTGATTAAATATTTATTTATTTGGCAATATTTATAAGAAAGATGGATAAAAATGGTGTAAGTTGTTGAGGATGTTGTGTGTGGGGTAAGCAGAAAGTGGGATGGTAAAACCGGAAGACGGACGTCAGTTGTCATCATAATACAAGCAGACAGGAACTTTCTCTGCCTTACGTTGTTTGATCACCGCTATGGCCTTTCAGAATCAAGTAGGTGTACTTTGTACATGTTAAACGCACGCGTTATGGTGTAATTTCGTCCTGATGAAAGACGTGCACCCTAAATGACAATATTACACAACGTTGGTCGTTGTTTTGTTGTCATATATGTAGTATAGTATTAGTAATTATTAGTATAGAATAGATGAAGCACTTGGCCACGGCTATGGCTTTAAAGAATCTCAGGTATGGAATACTTGTCCGAATACTTTGTACATGTAGCTAAACAGACAGTTTAAGGCGTAATTGCTTACTGATGAAATACATGTACCTTAAACTACTACCACTACTATAATACACACCGTTGGTCGTAGTTTTGTTGTCATACATGTATAGGGGGAAATCGTGGCTAGGTCGGGCAGAAGATGTTATTAGGCAAATATGCAGCCTAACCGACATCATACCTAGTGCAGAATGGATACCTGTGCCTCAGGCGTTTATTTGTACATTTTCCTGTATTGTCACACTCAACAGGCGATGTAGAGAACAGAATCCTGTTGCTGTTAATGCAGAGGTCAACGCTCTCATCGGTGAAAATTCAGACGAAGCAGATGCAATAATCTATACAGACGGATCCGTTATACGCCAAAGAAGAAGCGCATGGGCATTTACAGCACGCTCAGCGGGCAGAACAGTCAAAGAAGCCAACGGCGCCTTCTCCATGACAACCAGCAGCACGACGATGGAGGTGATGGCAGTGACGCAAGCGTTTGCCTGGCTTGAAACACAAAAATACACCCATGTATGTATACTCAGTGATTCAATGAGTATGATCCGGAGGGTTCAGGCAGGTTCAGTGCGAAGACAATGGCTTGAATCATTACAGAAGTCCACTGTGCGTGGGGTCACCTTTATTTTTGTTCCGGGACACACAGGCGTCGATGGAAATGAAAGAGCTAACAGGTTGGCTGGATCCACTATCACTACCGATGGTCAGCCTATGGATCATGCTGATATTATCAATGCCCTCAGAGAAATGGGAAGGATAGAGGACTTTGGTGGCAGTGAATCCACATCACTTGCCAGAATGGCAGACTTGGGAATTAAGATCGGCACAGCAAAAAATGAGACGCACACCAGACACGCCAGAAGACTTGTTAATCAACATAGAACTGGTACTATTAGCCATCGGACGTTGGGGTTCATAGTGAGGGGAGGATCTGAGCACCTATGGACATGTCCGGAGTGCAATGAGGATAACCCAACTAACTAACTAACATGTATAGATGAAGCACTTGACCACGGCTATGGCTTTACAGAATCAAATAGGTATAGAATACTGGCTATCATCCGAATAACGGTCGTAAATTATCGAGGCGGAAAATATACCCTAATAGGGCCTCAGTCACGTGTCAATTGCGCACTTTCGGGGACTATAACGCCACCGCCGAATTGTGAACTTCCGGCACCGCTGAGAGTGTGAGCCACGCGGGGGACACTCGACAGTGGCGGAAGTCGCCGGAAGCTCGTATTTTAAGACGACGGAACTGCGCAATCGACATGTGACTGAGGCCCTGTTGGGGTATATTTTCCACCTCGATAATTTACGACCGTTATTTGGAGGATAGCCGAATACTTTGTACATGTAGCTAAACAGACAGTTTAAAGCATAATTGCTTACTGATGAAATACATGTACCTTAAACTACTTTTATATTACACACCGCTGGTCATTGTTTTGTTGTCAAAGAAATATAAACAGAGACAAAATAAACCAGAGAGTCAAAGACTGGAACAAACCAGGACTTTCAGAATTAAAGTAGATACACTAGTTATGTATACTTCAACAGACAAGATAAGGTATGATTATCTTTTGATGAAATAGATGTTCCCTTAAAACTACACACCATTGTTTTTGTTGTCATCATAAATGCCACCCACCCACAGACTCGAACATCAGTGCTGTCACTGACATAAGCTTTCTAAATCAAGTAGGAACACTTCACACATATAGCTAATCAGACAAGAGATATGTTTCACACTGACAAAAGAGAGAAATCAGTTGTTATCATAATGCAAACCAAAGGTAGAAGACTTAAACCTCGGCGCTTTACTACAACTATAGCCTTTCAGAAGAATCAAGAAAGCTCACATGACACCTGTAGCTAAATGGACAAAATAGGTTAGGATTTTGCAATGATGAAACACTATCACCCTAAATTACTACATTAGACACTGTTGTTGATTGTCGTCAGCAGACTGTTAACTCTGTCCACTTTTGTTTAGTTGTTTACTTTAAGGACAGAGCTGACAGACTGGCAAAGAAAGGAGCAACACAAGAACAACCACCTACAGCGACAACCCTACAGACAGCAAAAACACTTATAAGAGCTATAAACAAAGAGACTTGGTTGAACAGATGGGTCATGGGAGACACTGGAAGAAAGGTTTATAGACATATGGCTGGCCCTGATCCTATTGACAGCATTAACCATCTAACAAGAAGGGACCAGGCCACCATCTTCAGACTTAGAACACAACATACTCCACTCAGTGGACATCTATACAGAATACAGCCACAACACTCCCCAGAGTGCGAGCTATGTAACTACCCCTACAAAACTGTTGGACACCATCTCTTTGAGTGCCCAAAACTCAGCGAAACTAGAAGAATGCTACTCCCTCTGAGACCAGACAAGTGGAACACCTTGTACGGAGGAAAAGAACAGCTTGTGAAAACATGCAAATTCCACTACATGGCATTGGGCCTAAGGGCGAAAGCTCATGCGCCGATGGATCGATAGCAACAACAACTTTAAGGACCCTTACATTTCTTGATGTAAAAGAGTGGGATTGAAAGGGTTAACTACGTATTTCCATGTATTTAGTGCTGGTTGTAATTATAACATAATCATATTTCTAATGAAGGTACTGTTTGCCAAAGACAGTGTGTATATTCACATCAACTTACAAGATACCAAAGATAAGGATGCTCATATCGCAGGACGTGTTTACTTGCTAACCAAGGTAATCTTCTTATAGTCCCTGTCGTGTTGTGTTGGGAGTCATGATCTTCTGTCTCGTGTAATTTCAGTCGGCTCTGACACAGATGATCTTCCATGCTGTGTTGCCCGACTCTCCACCTTTTTCTCTCCCTCTGCTTTTTTCTACCATCACAATGAACTCCAGTTTCTTCCTTCTCATGTTAAGACCACAAATATAGATTGCCTCCTTTTTATGTGGGGAGACATAAAATAAAAGGAACAGTAGACTAGCAAGCTTTACAGAGTAACAAAACACAAACCGAAAGTGAACGTTGCAGCAACAGAGCCTCTATCAGCAGATTAAATAAATCAACAAAACCACACGAATACACACAAATTACTTAACTCTTTGAGTCCCACGAAGCGCATCATACGTTCATAGGTTACTGACTAGAAGCCTAATGAACGCATGATGCGCCAATTTTACGTCTCTCTAAACTACCCCTTGGACCTGTGATGCTAAACCCTCTGGGACTCAAAGAGTTAACTGACATATTTCCGATAACCGACACTTTGGTTATATGTGGGTAGTGTCTACCTTTTGATTTGGGCAATCAGTTCTCTTTGTAAGTCCTTTTCTTTCAAGACACAAGACATTTTCATTTGTCTTTTTAGCTATCCAGTGTCTCATCATCATTGTTCTTTGAAGCCACATCTCTGCTCCTTTTAAGTAAGATAATAATTGTGAATTCAGTGAACGCATATGAAGGGTCATCAAATGAAAACCTTAAAAGTGTGATAGAAATTACAATACTTATAATGCCAATAATCCTTGTCAAGGATATCAAGAATGTTAAGCATGTGAAACCTCATTGCAGACAAACACAATTATATCATAATGACAGTTTGAAGATGGCCACCCTGTTTTTGAAATGCACCAAGGAGGAGCGTCATTTCAGTCAAGGGGTGAAACATATAGAAAGTTATCAACCAATGAAGATCCAGTGATGAATCCTTGTCAGTTAAGCAAATGTATAAGTGGAGTAGGAAATTTCACTAGTCGGACAGGAAAAGTAATTCATCTTCTTCCTGAGACTCATGAGACTTAGTGTCTAATAATATTGCTGCACTTCCTGAAGCTCAATTGTTCTTCTTCTTTGCGTTCACCGGCTGTAAACTTAGGCAAAAAGTTTTTGAAATTTGTCTGCCTCCGAACTTTAGTCTTGTTCCAGAACCTAAGTGTTGTGTGCACATCCGTTTGACGCGTCTGACTTATCTGTAAGCAGGCTGTAGGTTTCTTGTCTCTCAAGACAGATGCACCCTGACTTCGAAGGAAGCCCTCAGGTAGTCGTCATGCTTATTTTAAAGCCAGTTGGTCTATTCTTGTTTTTCCGGCACAGAAAAATAATTTCTTCATTGTCTTTTTTTTAAAAAAACTTTGTTTGTCTGTGGTTTAGGCGTTGTGAACACGGTTTGTAATGCTGGGATGTCGTGTTCGATCCTAGCTGGGGGCCATGCGTTGGTTTCGACAGTGGTAACAAAAAGCTGACTGTCCAGAAAGCAATGGCAAACTACTGGACATAAACCTGCCTAGAAAAACCACAACAGCCCCCCAAAAATGCTGGGGTTGGTCTACAACGTCCCGTAAAGGATGCGCACCTAACTTTGTTTATCTGTCTTTTTTCCTTATCTGATATAGAATAATTGATGTGCATGATTAATCTCTATGTTGGATTTGTTTCTTCCAGCCTGAAGGGAGATTCATTGAGTGGAAGGCTGAGGAATGTCTGACGGATGCACCAAATGAGGACTGGGATATAGTGGGGTCAGTCGGCTACAGAAATGATAGGGATGCTGACACTGGTAATTCTTACACTTATTTCATGCAATGTTTAAAGAGAAGTAATTTTGTTATCTGTCTATTGGCTCCCAGTGTTCTGTGGCCAAATAAAAAAAAACACAAATAAGTTATGAGTTGGATTATTTTCACAGCACTCCGGACACATCCATAGGTGCTCAGATTCCCCCCTCAACATATTCATCAGCATTGTGCGGTTAATAGTGCCAGTCTTATGCTGGTTGACGAGACTTTGTGTGCTTCTGGTGGGCTTCTCATGCTTGGCTGTGCCGATCTTTACTCCTAATTCTCTTACTCTAATCATTGATGTGGACAAATTGCTTCCAAAATTCTCGGAACGTCTCTCTTAAAGCATTAAAAATGTCTGCGTGATCCATGGGCCGGACATCTTCAATTATTGCGGCAGCTGCCAATCTATCATCTCTTTAATTACCAACACCTGCATGCCCTGGGACAAATAGGAAGGTAACTAGGCAGTCAACTAGAACTTTCTGCAGGAGTTAACAGCCAGTGAATGTGATGTAAAAGAAGAAGATGGTGCATCAGGCACATCTCTAAAGAAACTGCAGATATAGCTATATAATGTGTTGTGTTATCACAGTCAACTTCATGGCACATTGGGTATTTCCATTCAGATATTGCACATAATTAATTTATTAATTTATTATTGTACCTTTGTAATTGTAACTTCTGTATTGATACTTTTTACCATATTACTAATTAACATAATAATCTCAACTACTGTACTTTAAGGTTAACATTTTGTTTACTTAATGTAGTAATAGTTAAGTGATTCTAGTGTTTGCCCATACATTTCTCTCAATGCTTCACTCATTTTCAATTCCTTCCATTTTATGTTCATCATTATCTTCAGGCATTTGTTTTCGAATAAAAATACTTCACAGATAGTTAACTTTTTATTAACTTCTTAGCTGCTTATTAACATTAATCTTAATATAAAGTTTTAAAATAAATACTTTAACTCTCTACTTAATGTAATAATTATTAAAACGATTGGTGACTAAAAAGACTACTGCTGTTGCCACGGACTGTGCAGGTTAGGATTTCACTTTTGCTCCCAACGGAAAGAATCCACCACCTTATAGGGGCTTTGAACATGGGTCTCCTGAATGAGAATTGCAGCATTCTCAACTGCTCAGCCAGCCGCTGCTCAGAATTACTGCAGTAATGAATATTTTGTTACTTTCCGTGTCACTAATTATTAATTCTAAGCTGGCGGATGTAGCAAATGTCTGTCTGAAAAGTTGCAGCTGCATGCAAGGTATCTAAAAAAAAGGGGGGCAGCTGAACAGCTCAGTCAGGCTAGAAAAACCTGTATAACAGGTCTTTTAGCAATAAACACTGTTCCCTGTCCTCACTGTCTTAGATACTTCCAGACCCCTACTGTCAAGAAAAAATATAAAATCGAAAGAAAATTATATTAGCAAGCTTCACAATATAACAAATACAAACAAAATGTGAACATTGTGGCTATTGAGCTGTCATCAGCACATACAAATGAAACAGTACTACACAGATACACAAAATCATTTATCTGGTATCTCGAAGCAGCCGGGTCGGTTGTTTCTCAGCAGAATGACTACACGTGTCGGCTGGTGGAATAAATACTCCCTGTAGAGTACCAGGGGCCATAACTGGGGGGTTGGAGATAAAACTGTGAGGGCAGTTCAATCCCCTGGGAGTTTTAATGAACCTGTGTTGGCAATTCAGTCCGGAGGTGTTAAAGTCCTCAGAGTATAAATAAAGCAATTCTCAAGAGACTTGTGGACTCTGTCACTAGAATGGCTGGATTTAATGGCTGTTGAGGACACCTTGGTGATCCTGGGAATTGGAGTGCAACAGTACTGGTTTCAAAGCACCATTTTGCACATCCAAAAGATGTTGTCTCAACCTGTCGGCCAGCTGAAGACCTGTTTCACCAATGTATTTCATGCCACATCTCTTGCAGTTGATGGCATAAATGACATTGTGGCTGGTACAGTAGAATGTTTCACGTATGTGGAAAGTGGCATTAGGAAATTCTAGACTAGCCACCTGTACCACAAATGGACAGGTTCTGCGTACAGGTCTGTGGCAAGAGGCCATGCTGAAGTGGGGCTCAGGCGCAGGGCATAACCTACTCTTAACTAGAATGTCCTTGAGGTTACGATCATGCCTGTTACTCTCACTCAGACCCATACTGAGCTTATGTCACCTCCAGACTCACAGAGACTGGACTACATTTTCATGATGGATGAAAGAAAGAGTGGTCCTCATCACTTGTGATGGACATACAACATTTATTAGGTAACATTCAGTTTGCTACTCAGTTTTGCTTGAATTATCTACATTCTTTCAACTTTCCAGTGACCATGAATGCAAAGATGGATGCCAGGAGAAAGTATAACATCAGTTTTGACATTCTGGACTTGAAAAGCTTCAAGCGCTGTGCACCAAATCATGGCTGGGCATATATTATTTTCATTCTCATTGACGGCACCACATTCCCTGCCTTACATTTCCACAACGGGGGCAGCAAAGCCCTGCTGAAGGAGCTGGAGAACTTTATTCATATCCGCAGGTTTGTTCGCTTATTACGTTGGACTGTAAATTCTGAAGATATAACTTCATCACAACTTCCTTGCTGACTGGCATGGTCAGTCGTAATCTCACAACCTTTCTCACATGATCTTCCTCTGTCTCTCTTTCCGCAGATCTTTCCAGTTGTCACAACCTGTTCCGATTTCCTTCTTCTCATACCATGGCCACAAAATTATGGCTCTATCCTTCTGACGTTTGTGGTATCTTCAGGCCTTTACCTCTTTCAAATCATCTGGGTTACTTTTTTTGGCTGTCCAAGTAATTTTGAGCATTCTTCTGTAAAACCACATCGATGAAATTATATGTGATAAATATTGTTGAAAAACACCTTCAACACCTTTCACCAGATTCAGTGAGAAGAGAAGATCAAACGGTTTTATCATCTCATTAAAAACTGCTGCCCAGCAACCCATATAGGCACTAGTATAAAAGAAAGAGGGCGAGCAAGGATAAGATGGATTGATGACACTAAATACATTCAACGTCCACGCAGAAATGACAAAAGTCGGTGTAACCCATTGAGCAGTGGATCGTAAACTGTTCTTCCCCACGATGCTGAATGGTAAAAGTGGAAACCGATGATGATAATGATTTGTTCCATTTATGTTTAAAATGTGTTTTATTTATGTGAATTTTTTTTAGGAAAAGCCTTTCTAAAACCTGAAAAATGAGACAAGAGTTCAGCATCAGGGTTCTGGAGCCTCAGTTAGTGGGGAGAATAAAACTACTCTTTAACAAGTATGTCATACAAGGCAACAGATAAGCTTCTGCTGACATCGGATGTGTTGGCCCAAAAGGTACAGATACTACAGCCTAGCTGTAAACCACATCACAGTGGGAAGCACCAATTTGAGGGTGAATGGACAAGAAGAAGACAAAGGCATCTTCATTGTGTGTTAATCAATGGGCTAGATGTTTATGTGAAAACTTCTCCATCTTGGTTTCAGGGACCCACTTTGTGGGGGGGGGGGGGGGGGGGGGTGGTTGAATACATCTACTGTCCCCCTAACAAGTAAAAGTAAAGGACCCTTTCCCAGCCTTTCAGTCGTATTGGGTACATAGGGCTACACATATACATTTAATTGACATGATGTATCTCTGCCTAGATCACCCAGTGATGCTCGTCTCTTTCTTGTCAATGACCATGACAAGGAGATGTTGTCCAAGTCCATCAACGAGCTTGCCCTTTTCTCTGACTCATCAGGAGCTTATGTTCAGGTGAGTGCTCTTTACTGACCATACTGGGACTGTGTAAACATCAGAACATTTGATTGTTATCCTGTCCGAGATCGTTGTGGAGCAAAGGAGTAGATAAAGTTTGGATTTTGAACTGCAAAAAAATGACAGTTAACATTGCAAAAGAGAAGCTGAATGCTGTATGAGAAGTAAGACATTGACTAGGTACAAATGATAAATTTGAAACTATACCCAGACTACGAGATCAGCAAGAGAAAAGGAGTAAGACCAAAATGCACTATGAAAGAAGGCAAAGAAGAAGAATAAATCAACGCAGAACTGGAGCTGTCATCTGCTTCAAGGTGCAGTATTTACTGAGGAGGGAATTTGAGTACTTATGATTGATTTGTTTGATGTACCGGAAGATGATATGCCGACTAAAATTTTTTGGAAAAAGTCCGGCTCCCTGTCAGTAACCGAACAGACGACTTCTGATCCGCAGGTGAGCGTCTAGCCGTTAGACCACAGCAGCAGGAAGAGAATACTGACATCCTGAAAGATCTCAACATCAAGGCTTATAAATGACATCTTATCTCAGGATCAGAAATATGTTGGCCATATCAAGTGGATTAAAAAGATAGTAGCAGAGAGCTTGGTACTAGGAAAAGAATAAACCAACGCAGAACTGGAGCTGTCATCTGCTTCAAGGTGCAGTATTTACTGAGGAGGGAATTTGAGTAATTATGATTGATTTGTTTGATGTACCTGAAGATGATATGTCGACTAAAAAAATTAATTTATGTGAGTGAAAGAAACATGTAGTCCTGTAGATTTCTCAGTGGTGATGTCTCTTTTTGGACCAAGAAGAGAATACTAAAAAAAAAAAAAAAAGAGTAAAGGACCCTTTTCCACGCCTTTGAGGTGTATAGGCGTATTAGACCTATATTTTATAAACCAAACAGCACTTGGTTGGTGATGGGGTCAGTATCACACCGGTACCCACTCAAGGCTAGGTTGACCTGGGAGCCAAGGTCATTTTTGGAAAAAGTCCTGCTCCCTGTCAGGAACCGAACTGACGACTTCCGATCCGCAGGCGAGCGTCTAGCTGCTAGACCACGGCAGCAAGAAGAGAATACATTCTAAAGGATCTGAACATCAAAGAAGATTGGCTAGTAAATGGCATCCTTGTCTCAGAAACAAAAATATTTTGGCCATATCAAGTGGATTAAAAAGATAGTAGCAGAGAGCTTGGTACCAGGAAAAGAGAGACAGAGACTAACCAGCATGAAGATGTGAACAGGATATAAGTAACACCTTGGGTAGAGATCTGCACAAAGCAGGAGAGCCTGACTTTCTTTCAGGGCTGTGAGGAGAGCGACTTTCTGTTTATAGGACCTGCCACATGATGATGATGAATGTTTGCTTTTCTTGGCCTTTAGGCATTGTCAGTAAACATGTAAGAGGAAAAATGACACAGACTTTATGGACATCAGTAGCCTCTTGTGGCTGTGGTGAAACGTCACAAGCTAGCTAGGTGAGGACATGATTTGATTGCAAAGACTGTACTTCAAGGAACATTGTGGAGTAGCCGAAGAAGAGAGGGTCAAAGAAGAACCTGGAAAGACAACATCAAGAAATGGACAGGAACTAAATTATTATACACATGCATACAAGCGGGCGTAAAATTGTGACAACAGAGAAGACCTGCAGGAGTTTCAAGGAAAGGCAGAATACGAAATCATGAAATCAGACAAATGCTAGGAATAAAGCCAGTCTTACAGGTCATTACAGATCATCAAAATAACAACAAGAATGCCGTGGTACTATCTGCCCACAGTGAACTAAAACGTTCGGGAAAATATGGAGTGATGGCATTAAGAACAGCCTTACAGAAATGAACATCAGTCTTAATAGTGCTCTTGACAGAGCTCATCAACGAACATTACATCTCCCCCTGACAATTCGATGAGGTAAAATGTGGAAGAGAAGAAGAAGAAGAAGAAACAAGCAGAAGACACTGAGAAAGATATCGGGTTATATGTGCTAGTGCTTCCATCAATACACCTCCATGACCCTGAGGGGTCAAGGGTTATGTATGTAATGTCAGTGAGGGTGTCTTATTCTTGCCTTGTCCTCCAACATTGTTTCAGCAGAAGTTTATCAAGGATCCGTATACAACCACAATGGGCAGCTTCTCCAAGGTGACCAACTTCCTCCGAGACGTACTGCTGACCCCTGAAAACAGATTTGATCCGACCCCAGGGCGAGGTGGCCGAGTTTTTGCAGGAAGACATCCCAGGCATGGAGATTTCTCAGATGGACGAACCTGGTTTTGAAATGATTACAAAGGTAGGATATAACAGTAGCTCTTAGCAGGCCTCGAAACTGGAGGAAATGATTCTCTCTCTCCTGGGGGTGGGGGGTGCCGCCTTAACAATCATGTTGTACAAGGCAACTAGTTAGGGGTATTTTATTGGAGTCGGAATGCATCTGCTTGAGGCAAGGAACCAGCAGTCTGCATACAAATAAGCCAGATGTGCATGCAAAACTAGAACAAGGCCACAGTCCAGAAGTGGACAAACAATCACAACTTACTGCAGCAGTTTACAGCTAATGAAGGTTATGAAGAAGAAGATAATCCTTTCATCTTGTTCTCCTCTGTAGCTAGATAAACCAACTACCCTCTAATATTATCATCAATTAGCAGGGCCTATGCAGAAGGTGTCACTTGTATCTTGTGTCCATCTGGCCAGCTCCTGCCCCTCTTTCCCTGGTACCATGCTTTCTGCTTAAAAAAAAACAACTACTATGTGAGGCGCTTGACATGACCACAATATTGCAGTTTTCAAGACAGGATACTGTTGACTGTATACTAGTTAATCTTCCTTGATGCTGAGATCTTTTAGGATGTCAGCATGTTATTAAAGATGACTAATTAATAGTTTGCTGACATCTGTTGGGTTTGAGAGGTGTATATGCCACAGCCTAGCTGTAAACCACATCACAATATGCCAGCCACCCTTTTTAAAGCAAACACAGAAGAAGAAGTATTGTTAGATAGAAAACCAGTTTTAAATTATCCCTATAAAATATGGTTTACAACATGCGTTCAGTGATTCTCCTATGATACCTGGGTTGAAAAATAATTCAGCCCTTTTATTTTGTACAGCTCACCAGGAATATTTGAAAGGTGAACATCTTCTCAATCAGTTTTTTATTGATTTCAGACCAAGCTGCCTCCACGACCCACAGTGAAGAGAGCAGATCCCTTAGCCGCACAGCAGTGGAACTCTTTCTTTGATGCTGAGGGGAGGATCAGCAAGGTGGAAGAGCTCAAGGATATAATTTTTCGTGGAGTAAGAAAATATTTAGTCGATTTTTCATAAAGTAAAGTTGCAGACATGTTTAGATCAGGGCTGTTCAACTAAGTTTTATTCACTGGAGGGTTGAAACTTTGGAAAATGGGGGTCATCAGGAGCCTGAAAGATCATGAATATCATAAAATGGCAATGATCCGCAGGCCACTAGCTAGACCTCCTGCCCAGTTTAATATCCTTGGTCTAGATGCTCACCTTCTGGTCCAGAAGTCTTGGGTTCAAGTTTGGTGTACAGATTTAAAAAAAAAAATATTTACCTCAGCTCTTTGTTCCACCCAGCCTAAAATGGGTACTAAGGGGAAAGTAAAGAGGCTAGTATAATGTTCACAACATCACCCATCAGATCTGTTGAAAAAGACAATAAAAGGAGCATTCATTTAAAACCTTTTACAGATACTTTATTACAAAAGCATGAAAGAAACATCAGCACGTGCAGAATTGAACAAAGCATTCATTTTTAATAAATTATGCATAATGGGGGTTTGCTGTAGACATTCAAGACCTAGAGTTGGAGGCAACAAACTGCCAGACATGGAGAGCTATGATCTCTGCCCTATGCGCCACCTAGGCTCTGCTTCTATTATGCCAAAGTGACAAGTCTCTCTGGGGTGCACTAACTGGTGGTAGTCTTAACACATGTCCAAACCATTTGATCTGCTCTCTCATTATGTAGTTTAGTACTGGTTCTGTCCAGTCTAACTAACTAACTTTATCTGAGAGATCAATTCACCCTTTTAAGTTTTGGTTATTTAAACCCGCCACCACTGAGTCAGGAGGTAAGTGTGTTAGTGACTGTGCCATCATGACTGCTATCTTCTGTGAGAGCTAGCTGTTCAGCATATGTCTTTGTTTCTTGTGAACTACTAGGGTGTAGATCCAGCCATCCGTGGAGAAGTGTGGAAATTTTTGCTGGGCTTCTATGACTGGGATTCCACGTCAAAACAGAGACAAGAACAGAGAAAGAGGAAGGTGTAAGTAATTATCGTCTCTTCCCTGCATTTCATTTCACTGGTTCTTTTTGTCATTGTCATTGAATAGAAAGTATTGTATGACATACCAGACTGAATCCACTCAACACATTGCAGCTGTCATGTGGAAAGTTTTGTTAGTAACTGTTCATTCATTAATGGAGGTGGAGGCAGTGACTGCTGCTTTCTGCTGGCTTGAGAATCAGCTGTATACACATGCCGTGATTGTAACTGACTCACAGAGCATGTTGAGAAAAGTGAAGAGAGGCATGCTCCATGCAGAGTGGCAAGCATCACTAGAAACAGATTCCCAACCTGCGGGCTGGCCAGCGTAATATGCACAGAGTCAACAGCCATCGCATGCTCTGCTCCTATTATGCCAAAGTGACAAGTCTCTCTGGGGTGCACTAACTGGTGGTAGTCTTAACACATGTCCAAACCATTTGATCTGCTCTCTCATTATGTAGTTTAGTACTGGTTCTGTCCAGTCTTCTTTCATGATATTGTCATTTCGGATCCTTTCTCTTCTAGTTACTTTAGGATTTGACGTAGATATTTCATTCCTCTTGTTTTTAGCTTTTCTGTTGTTGTTAATGTTAACGTTTGACACTATCAACAGTGTTGATAAAAACACTGTGTTGATAAAAATACTGTATTGAATAGTGTTTCTTTGGTGTCAGTTTAGGATTATTAAGAAAAAAGAAAATTCAGAATATATAAATTAGTCTTTAAATCATGGATTTGTGGGAAATATTAGGCAAGAGGGTCAGTGGAAGACATAATAATGATGTATATGCAAAACTTAAACAGCTGGGCACCAAATTATCATTTTTTAATGTAAATTTTATGTTATTTATAATGTTTATATAAATCTGTGACAAGAATTGAAAAATATTTCTTCTGTATGTCCTCCTACATTAGCAGCCTTTGTCTGTTTGTCATAGGGATGACTATTTCCGGATGAAACTCCAGTGGAAGACCATTTCTGCGGAACAGGAGAAGAGGTTTTCTTTGTTGAAGGAAAGAAGAGGGTTAATAGGTAAAATATGTTTGTGTGTGTGTTTAATAAATTCCTCTTCTCAGTGACTTGATTGTTTACATCCATAATGAAGATATTACATTACTGACTCCCACACAGAGAGGTATCTCCGCTTCAGCTGTTTTGTACCTTCTATATGAGAGTAAAAAAGAATGAAGGCAAGAGTAACACAACTTCCACATACAGGACACAAACATAGTCCTCCTGTCAAAATTGTGGATAGGTGGGCTTATTGTTTATAATTGTAGCAACTTTTTGCTTCCGACAGCCGTTAGCTGTTGCATTTTCCTGCATTTGTAGACTGAAAGGGTATAGTTCCATCACCCAGATACTGAGCCAAGTGCTTGGCATGACAATATGAGTTGTGAGTTTTATTTGGAATGCTTTTCAGCTGTGCCCAGTGTGGTTTGTGCTGTGAACTGAGCTGCAGATTCAGAAAATGGTGAGCGGTTTGTTGTCAGAGAACTGGTCGTGCCTTATGCGATTAATTGCCTGTGCAACTACTGCTGCTTCAAGGTATTTTCATGCCTAGGGGTGTCTAGTAGGTTTTTTCCACATTCATGCTGGTCAGCTCTTGTCTCTTCCTCTGGGAACCAGGCCTTTTTTATATGGCATTCCTCTTGAACATGTGACAAGACCTTCCACTCCCTGGTTAAAAAACACTGTAATCTGAAAAAAGACAAAAGGAAACATCAGAAGCACTATTAACAAGAAAAAATATCTACATAAATCAGAGGGCAAACAACATACAAGAATCAGTCATCAACATCTCATAATTTTTTTTTGCAGAACATCACTGTCATGGTTGACACTGTTTTTGTCTTGATATCTAAGGTTGGACAAAGCGCAAAAGAATACTGGGAGGAAAAAAATGTTATTTTGCCAGATTATGAAAAAATACAGATTCGCTCAATTTCAAAATCGCTTGGCCCAGGCCCCACCATCCAAAAAAAACCCATCCGATACCCATGTACTTTTAAAAAATTCTTTAAACCCGCAAAAGTTTTCTAGAAACCAGCCACCCCGCACCCCCCCCCCACCCCCCCCCCCCCCCCCCTAATCCCCAAAACTTGCACCCCCATGGGGCATACCCTCCACTTTGAAAACCACTGATTTAGATTGTTGCAAGTCTTTAGCAACCTTTTAAGTTTCCAGAGGAACAGTCCTACTCTGTGGTTCTCTTGCTAATCACAAAGGGCACCTACAATTTTGTTAAAAAAAAAAAAAAAAAAATTCTTTGCATTAATATTATGTTGCTGTAACAATGTTTGGTGCTTTATTATTATCGTACCCCAAACAGGGGAAATCTACAGGTCACGTGACAGTCTAATATTTCAGTGGGTGGTAGATAGGGTGTATGCACAGTATATGAACAATCTGCAAATTACTGCAGGCAGGATGGTTTTTCTCACTGACTCACTGTCAGCTATACAGGCCCTTGAGTCCAAACCTACCGACAGCACACTACAAAGTCTAACACAGGAACTTGCTATGCTGTCAAATAAGGCAGAAATTCACTTGCAGTGGATTCCGTCTCACTGTGGCATCAAAGGCAATGAAAGCGCAGATGCTTTAGCCAAGGAAGTCAGTAACAAACTACAGACCTACCAGCCACTATCTTTTCCAAAAGTCAAAACTCTCATTAAGAGAAAATCAGAAACAGATTGGAAAACAACACTGGTTACAACTGCGGAAAAGATTTTCTGAAACACTTGAACAGAACAGACCAAGTCACAGTTTTTCGCTTACGCACTGGATACTGCAGACTCAATAAACACTCACATAAATTAGGTATGAGCCAAACAGCTCTCTGTCAGTGCCTTCGTGCTGAATAGACTGCAGAACATGTCCTGCAAGACTGTCCTCTCCTGGCGGAGCTGCGGAGCGACATATGGCAACACCCAGTAGAACTGACAACTAAGCTTTGGGGAAACCTAAGAGACCTTGAAAAGACATCCCAGTTTATGACCCACAGTGGATTATGCGCATGACCAGAGATCGCTGAAGAAGAAGAAGATAGGGTGTATGCAGTTGTGGGACCTAGGCTGCATGGAGTCGTGGGACCTAGGCTGCACTCACTCGTGGGACGTAAGTGGGTTGAGATTAGGACCAGACCAGTTCTAGATGTTTTGGGGTCCTTAAAAGCATCAGAAAGCCAGATAACCTAGTCTTACCACCCTTTAAAATGTTGGACTGTACTGTGATATCATCTGGGGTAGGATAATAATAAAACACCTAATGTTTTATTGATGAAATACAATTGCTTTGTGAAAATTGAGTGCTTGGAAGGGTCCAATGTAAGACGGGCATGCATGCTGAATTTTTGACACTTTAAAAATTAAGTGTGTTCGTTTATTCGTTCACTTATCTCTGTGGGTTCATCTTTAACTAGACTCCTGAGACAGTCAGCATGGATAGTTGTCTGTCAAGCTGTTTATAATGTTCATCTATATGATACAATAGTGGTCATGTAACTCTGAGATGTTTATCTATGTGCGACTGCCTTTTTAAGAAATATGTTTTCGTCTATTCCACAGAGAAAGACGTCCAGAGGACAGATAGAACACAGAAGTTTTTCAGCGGAGAGAAGAATCCTAACCTCCAAGTACTGTTTGACATTCTGATGACTTATGTTGTCTACAATTTTGATTTAGGTAAGCCTGTTATTCATGTTGATACTCTCCAACTGACATAAAAGGCCAGGGTTTAAATCTGTGTGTGATACAGAGTTTCTCAACCTGCATGCTGGTGCACATACTGAGCAAGACCTTTCTATACATAGGCATTGTTTGGCTTCTTTGAAACTGTGACAGTCACTCTTTTACTGTCTGCAAGTTTAGTATGATGCTGAGTGACACAGGCAGTCATGCTCTTTTTCAATCATCTGTGGGTGTGTGTATGAATGTCTGCATATGCTTCTGTGTGTGTGTGTTATGTGTCTAGGTTAGCATCAGCGTGTGTGTTTGTGTGTCTACGAGTGTGTCTGTGTGGATGTACCTGTTTGTGTTTGTGCAAATGTATGTGTGTGTCCACGTGTGTGAGTCTGCTGAATGTGTGTGATTGGGTCTGTGCGCGTATGTCTGTGTGTGTGTCTACATTTGTTTCTATGGGTGTGTCTGTGTGTGCATGTGTATGTATGTATGTGTGTGGAATATGCGTGTCTGTGTGGGTAGGCAGGTATGTATGTGGGTGAATGGGGGGGGGTTGGGTTTGAGTGAGTGGATGTGTGTGCGTGCACTAGTGTGTGCATGCATTTTACCACCCATGCTTTATGTGTGTTTTTTTAAATTTTAAAATTTTTTTATTTTTATAAAATTATATTAATATACAGTGGAACCTCGCTTAACGAGCATAATTCGTTCCAGAATCATACTCGTTAAGCAAAACACATTTGTTATGCGAAACAATTTTTCTAATATAAATTAATGTAAAATACGATAATGCGTTCCATGTAAAAAAAAATACTCCAAAATGCTTTGTATAACGTTTGTTCAAAAAAAATGATATACATATAGTTAAGGAGAGTGTATCATCTTCATCTTTTCTTCAAACGCGGAACGAACTCACCTGGAATGCGAATTCGATTTGGAGAAAAAATATCTTAATAATTATGATACATAGCGAATTATTTTGTTTACTAGAAAGATGTCCAGAGACATCTGTTTTTGCCAACGCCTCACAATTTTGCAAAAATGCGACACAGCATTTTCATTAAATAAATTTGCAACGCGCATAGCTACTTCCTTATTAGAGTGATGCTTCTCAATGTAAGATGCAACAGTTTGCCATGCTTTCAGCATTTCTCCTTTTTCGCCAGAAGATTTTTGCTTTTCTGTTACATCCTCCTCCTCTGACAAACTTTCCTTCCAAACTTCTTGCTGTGAAACCCAATGCAACTTCATAAGCTTTTGGGTGGTCAGCTCTTGGCTGTGCTCTTCCACAAGCTCTTTGATATCACTGTTATCCACCTACAATCCCATGATAGTGGCCAAAGACACAATCTCGTTGACTACAGGTTCCGCAGGTACTGTCTCGAACCCCTCAAAGTCACAAATCGACAACACTTTTCGGCCAAAGCTTCTTCCAAGCAGAAGTTAGGGTTCTCTTGGTAACCCCTTCCCCCGCCGTGTCGATCATCTTGAGGCAGGCAACGATGTGGAAGTGATTTTTCCAAAACTCTTTGAGAGTGAGGTTGGTCCTTTTAGTCACCTGAAAACAATGATTGAAGAGTGCTTTAGTGTAAAGCTTCTTAAAGTTAGAAATAACTTGCTGGTCTATGGACTCGAGTAACGGAGTGGTGTCGGGAGGCAGAAACTGGATCTTGAGGAACATAAATTTTTCAAGGAGGTCATCTTGTAGGCCTGGAGGATTCATGGACATATATCACAACAAAACACAAGTTTGAGTAAATGTGTGATCACAAGCGACACTACGATACAACTGGAACGAGTGCTGAATACAGATTGATGTAACATGTGCACAATTCGGGACTTCCCCTCTCCTCGCCACTCGTTATGCGAAACGTCGCTCATTAAGCGAGTCATTTTTTTACAATTTATTTTGCTCGTTATGCGAATTACTCGTTATGAGAGGTACTCGTTAAGCGAGGTTCTGCTGTAACATGCTTATTGATAAAATACAGCTGCAATTTGAAAGACGGATGTTTGAAAGGGCCGAATGTAAGACGGCCTGCCTGCAAGCTCAATTTGTTACCCTTTGAAAATAAAGTTCGTTCATTTGTTCGTTGGTTCATTCTGCCTCTAAAGGAGGTGATTTCTTTCAGTTGTCCGTATCAGTGTTGATATCTTTCACGTCGTGTTTGCAGGTGTCCTTATTGTGTAGCATTGGCCTTCCTGCAGGTCTTATCCCTGTTACCACTTTAACCATACAGGAACTCCTTTGGAATGTAGCCATTCTCCGTGCGGGCTAATAAATTAATAATTATTTACACATTCATTACTTTATAATTCTTCTTCTTCTTCTTCTTTGCGTTTAGTTTTTGTATGCTCAGATCAGACCATCAGGTGGGTTGCCTCTACGAACTTGCATGTCAGTAGCAGGTCCTTCATGGTTCCCCAGAGCTTGCTCTGCACACTTTGCTTTTGAGGCCAGGACTTTATAATTGAGTTCTTCTGTTTTAAAAGACAAAAGACCTTAATTAGGGTTTATATGTGTGGGGTAGGGCTTCTGTTATGGTGTATCCTGCTAGGGTTTACCATGTTTCCCCAAATAATGAGAATCCCATGTATAAGATGCATCTTGACTGGAGATTTGGAGACCAAAATAATAATATGATTACCTGATGCCTTATACCATTGTATAAGACACACACTGTTTTTTATACCCTGTATTTTTTTAATTTGTATTTAAAAAAAATAAGTGCGTCCTATACTTAGGGAAATACAGTATTCCTAGATTAGTTTTTATTTTCAAGCAAGTACTTTAACATGGTTGGCATCTGTGGCTTAGATGTTGTGGATGCACTTCGTAATCTGGGATGCTAGGTTTTATCCCAGCTGCAGGCGGTCTTGCATTGGTTTCGACAGTGGTACCGAGAGCCAACAGTTCGAGAGGCAATGAAAAACCTAAACTCGAAAAGCTGTTACAGCCTAAACAAAAATGCTGGGGCTGGTTCTACAATATCCTGTAATGCATACACAACTAACTTTACCATGCTTGACTTTATTTATGGGCCTTAGTACACCTGGGTGACCATGTTTTGTGTCTTCTTCTTATTATCGAGTGTGCACATTGAAACCCATATCTGTTAATTCCCCATCAGGCTATGTCCAAGGCATGAGTGACATTCTGTCCCCGATTCTTGTTGTCATGGAGAACGAGGTTGAAGCTTTCTGGTGCTTCGCTGGGGCCATGGAGAGAGTGGTAAGCATTTTAGTCTTTAACTTTTAAATAGCCTGAAAAAAATAAAATTATCTGGACATACAACCATATTACATATTTGTAATTCTAGTGTTATTTCAAGGGAGCTGGATGGTCGTAGACCACAAGGCAGACCAAGAAGACAATGGAGAGATAATGTCAAGAGATGCCTGAAAGAGAAGGCCAACCAGAGAGATGAGTGTAGGTGGGTGATATCTGCAGCAATGAACCTCAAGGGCTCAGAATGCTGAAGAAGAAGAAGAAGAATGTTATTTCAGTTTTAACATCTGCTAATGATAGTTGGAGAACCACTGAAAACAAGGAACAAAAGTTAAATACATATGAAAATCTTAAGGAAATTAGTGAAAAATAAATGTGACAAATCCAAGAAAGGGGAAGGAGTCTGGACAACTGTTGTTATCAACAGTTATAAGACGGAGACATTGGTGATGTATTTGGGGAAGCAGACGGATAACCACGAAACAGGCACTGAAGTGGGAAACAGATGGATCCAAGAAAAAAGGACATTCAAGAACCCTAAGAAGAACATTGCTGAGAGATGCCAGAGTTGCTGGGCTGGATTTTATCTACAGTATCAAAAGGATTGAACAGGATAGCATTAAGCAAAACAATGAATTGTCAGCCCTCTGTGTCATATAATAGCAAACAGAATGATGATGATAACTTATTGCAGTTCTTATACTTACTCCCATGATTTTTTTGGGTTGTTATAGCAATTGTTTTTTATATTATTTAACACTAGTCTTGAATTATGTTGACCCACTTTTTTTCCGACCTTTGTATTAGCTTGGTGCTGAATGTGAATATGTGACGATGAATGTTCGAGGTGGCGTACAAGACAAGGTTGTGGAATTGAGGTTTTCATGGCTGGAAAATGGCAGGGAAAGACAAATGCTTTCATTGTCATAATTTTGAGATGATTTATTTGTTAGCATTTATGGTATAATTTTGTAGTGAACTTAATTTGATAATATCTATGATGAAAAAATAACATAACTTTAAGAAAATTAGGTTGACATTTCTAATAATAACATGTCACAACTTTGAGGTGATTAATTTGTTAACATTTTCTAGTTAAATAGTGACACAACTTTAAGATAATAAATTTGTTATGATAATAAATTTGTTGAAATTTCTCAAGAATACAGTGTCAAGCAAATTTAACAAGCTTTATTTTCAAAGGGTCACAAATTAGGCACAGAGTCCTATCGTACAAACGGCCCTTCTAAACACAGCAGTTGTATTTCATCAATAAAGCATGCTATGTTCATATAATAAAATACATATATTATGAGTAGCAGGAAAAAAAAAACAGAAGCACGTATTAACTTATGTAGTGTTGCAGCTTTGAGATAATGAATTTTCTGATGTTGAAAACAGTGCAACAACTTTGAGATGGATCAGAACGGGATGAAAGTTCAGCTGTCACAGATCCACAAGCTGATGCAAATTTGTGATCCAGAGTTGTGTGCTTATCTAGGTAAATATAATCTTATATTGCTGTGATTTGTCTGTTGCTGTTTGTTGGTGGGGGGGGGGGGGGCGGCGGGGGGGGGGGGAGAGTCTTAAAATAAGACAACCTATTGTTGTCCTAAATTTAAATTCATTTGAAAATCCTAAGGAAGTTAATGAATAATAAATGGGATTAGTTTAAGAAAGGGAAAGAAATAAGAGAAATGTCTGGACAGCCCTTGATATCAGCAGTTATAAGATGGAGAAAATGGAGCTATATATGTAACATGAGTAGGACATGACAAAGGGCCACTAAACCGGCAAAGAAATGAGAAATACGGTGGTTTCTTTTAATATGTTTCTGTTGGTATACATTCAACTTCATATACGTTCTGTTTAGATGCAAAAACATTTGCGATCTCTCTTTTTGGAATATGAACTTGTATGAGTCAGAATTAGTCATGAAACTGCATGTTATAACTGTTTTCCTCTCTCTCTTTCGAGATAAAGCCATTGATGGATAGTCAATGACTTTGCAGTTGAAATATCACCCCAACTAAGCCCAAAGAAGTTACAATAGCTTTGTCTATATTAACCAGACAATGTCATATTTCCAAAACATCCTGAGCAGAAGGAGGCAAAGTTCATTGGGCAAACTTTTATTAAAAGTCAAACCAAATGAGCCCCAGCCAGGTCCAGGGATCAACAAGACAGAAATACATATTTGTGTACTTACTATCATGCAGTATGTAAATGATTTTACACAGCCCCTTCAGTGTAAAATATGCAAATAACAGTAGGTATAAAATGCTAATAACAGTATACTTTTTGTCTCCGTTGGAATGGATTGATAAATCTCTCCCATTTTTTCTTACGAGCATTGAGGTATGATTTGGTTTGCCATGAACAGGTTTGGTATGATCCAAGAATCATAAACGGATTGAGTATGTATATTGAGGCACCACTGTAAATGGATTGAGGAAGAAGAAAAGGGGGGGGGGGGGGAGGCTAAAAATAAGATGACCTGTTATGAATATCTGATGTAGACAAGTAACCGCCTTTTTTTTTTTTAGAAGAGGCAGAGTGAAATATATTGCAAATATTTGGTAAAATTAGTTTAAATGTATATAGAAGTGTGTTGTGGTGATTTGATTAATAGGCTTGAGGGGGAAGTGGGAGCTGTTTTGCTGTGTACCAGGATATATCAGATACCTCACCTCGGGTGTTAGCAGGCCTGCAAAGGTTTTATGGAATCTGCAAGACGGGCTGTTGCAGGTAGGCTCAAGGTGCGGCATGTGAAGTCATATCTCAGAGTAACTACAGACACAGATCACCCTTTGCACGAAGCTCTGATTGCAGTCAAGGGTCAGCGGCTGATAAGAGCGAAGTCATGGATGGCTCTGGCAGAAGACACAATCAGACAGGTTTGCATCCTGGAGAACATTAGGCAAGGAGAGGTGTGGGTCAGAGTGCCAGCGGAACAGTCAGATTTGTGTAGAGTCAAAATCACATTGAGCCGGGAGCCAGCAGGTGCCACAAAAATGGAAATTCAGCAATTAATTCAAGATAATGCTCACTCAGAGGATGTTTTTATTTATACAGACTGTTCAGTGTCAAGAGGCATATGAGATCACAACATCCAGGTTAAGAATGAAGGTGTAGGCGGTAACTGCAGCTTCCCCCTGGTTAGAGAACACGACACACACATCGTGATTGTAACTGACTCCGAAAGTATGCTGAGGAAGATCAGGACAGGCATGCTTTGCTGCAGAGGTCACGTGTGAGGCATATTGTCTGGATTATTTCTCCGGTTGAATACGGATCAACAGCATGGAGTTCGGCATCAAAAACCACATTGCAAGAATTAGACAAAGTGCAAAATCAAGCACTCAGAGTTACCACAGGCAGTATGAAATCAACACCTATAGCTGTGATGGAGAAAATGGGGATGACCCAAGCACTGAGTGAACGCAGAGACACCAAGATGCTTTTACAAGCAGAAAAGTTTCTTAGTATGCCCAGTCACCCTATGAATGAAAGATTTAAAAATTTAGCTTTGGGACGACTAAAGAGAAGTAGTTTTATCCACCAGGCCAAACGGCTCGGCAGACAAAACACTGATTTACCTGCAACTGATAGATCCTTAAATGCTGTCCCAGAACGGACCCCCTGGAGAGAGGAGTATAAGTTTCCAATACACATCAAGACTGAAGTGAAAGGGGTATTTGACAAGGAAGAACAAAACAGTGTGCAGCGCAAAACAGCCACTCTCAGTCTACTTGATGATGAATACCCGCAGAACCTTTGGTCCGTGTTTACACAGATGGGTCAGCAGAAAGCGCAGTCAGAAACGGAGGTGCGGGAGTGTACATTGAGTATCCTAATAATACCAGGGATACAGCCAAATTACCAACGGGAAAGCACTGTCACACAACTATGATGCAGAAGTTCAAGCCATCAAGATAGCTGTAGAGAAACTACTAAATACAGGGTATTTTTCACAACCAGTGGTATTCCTGACAGATGCAAAAGCAGTACTTCAGTCACTCCAGTCTGGAAAATTACCAAGCATACGGACACTATTATCCGAACTAGGGCAACCGCTGTAAATTAGTAATGCAGTGGATACCTTCCCACTGTGGAGTTCCCGGAAATGAAAAAGCTGATAAACTAGCTAAGGAAGGTGCAACTGAAGAACAACCTGACATACCAGTCTCTTATCAACAGAAGAAGAGAATGATCAAATCAATCAGAATGCCACCGAAACTGGCACAAGATGATTACCATATTATGGACAGACCAGAGCAAGTTATTATCCTTCGCCTTAGAACAGGGCACAATAGACTTCGCTCCCACATGTACAACAAATTTAAGATTGGCCAATCGGCCATGTGTACTTGTGGACTGGCACCTGAAACAACAGATCACATCCTTCAAGACTGTCCCATATTCAACGCTTTCAGGCAAAACCTTTGGCCAAAAGAGACACTTGTGGAAGTCGAACTTTACGGGCCGCTTAGTGAATTACAAAAGACAGTGAAATTCATACAAGAGACGGCTTTGCAGATATAGACAATTTATTTTATGCGAACCAAAGAAGAATTTCTCCGGTGACGCCGGTGTGTTGGGAAATAAACTAATGGACAGACTTGCTGGCTCTGCACAACATATTAGTTGAGAGATAATAATGATGATCTTGTGTGTGAAAGATTCCATACAACATATCTTATATTTCTTACTTAACATTCTAACAAGAAATTTTACTTTAGTTTTCAGTTTGGTTTTGAAAGAAGGGAAAAAACATCCTATCAAAATATTGTATTTTTAATTTGTTATTTCACACTAGAAAAAAATAATAAAACAACTTGGTATATCATCACGATTCTTTTCCTAACAGAAAGTCATGACTCTGGAAACTTCTACTTTTGTTTCCGGTGGATTTTAATCTTATTTAAAAGAGAGTTCCACTTCCATGAAATCCAGAGGTTATGGGAGGTAAGTCTCAACTTTGGAATCCTTTACTTGTTCAACTTCACACTAGTTGTAGCAACAACAAGCTTGTCAGAAATTAGAACAGATTCCCTTGTGAGTTCCAGGGCTCAACTTGGGATAGGGGTGGGATAGAACCACAGTTCCTTAACTCTCTGAGTCCTAAGGAACACATCATAAGTTCATAGGTTACTGCCTAGAATCACAGTGAATGCAAAATGCATCAATTTTACTTCTCTCTTGACTACCCCTTGGGCCTCTGATGCCAAAGCCCCTGGGACTCAAAGAGTTAATAAGCATGTAAACCACCCTTTTAGGGCCTCAGATTCGGGTCTTGCAAACCACACTTGGAAATAAACATCTGTACATTAATTTTTGGAACCAAAAGTAAGACTTTTATCACTGGTGACCAACTTCGACGTTCATCGAATTCATGACATGTGGTTTGCTGACCGACGTCCCTACCGATAGTTTTTTAATTGGGCTGCATCAGGTGTTTTTGTTATTCCAGGATAGCTGCGCCTATGATCGATCTCGCTTTGAGCCAATACAAGAATTGTTTTCAGTGACATTTTGATAATTTTCGTTATCAGTGCATATTCAGTCTTTTTTATCATGTCTGATGACAGAACCGGACCAGTAGTATTGATTATTTGGAATCCACCAGCGATTGTAGCCCTGAAAATGATAATTCCTGAATAAGTAGAAATTCACATGTGAACATTGTCGCCCAATTGCAACTAAAAGTAGCGACAACGATGATAGACTTGATGACAGAGTTGATATAGGTGCATCAGAAGAAAGATGTGGGCTCGGCACAAGAGACCAGAACATTTCTACAACTGAAAATGCTGTTTGTAAATGGAAAAAGGCTGCTCAAAATAAACTTATTAGGCTGGACAATCCTCCTCCACATGAAGAACAACAAGGTACCATGCCGGACACAATTGGGTGTGTGCCGATTGATTGTTTTAAGAACTAAAAAAGGCAGATTGTCCTGTTTTATGTGACAAAAGATAAAGGCATGTTGGCCATTACCTGGCGTGACACTAAAAGAGTTCACCTGATATCTACTGTATACTTCCGTGGTGTTATAGACAAGACAGTTAAGAAAAGTGGATTTCTTGATGGCAGAATAATAAATAAGCCAGTTCTTGCAGAAAAATAAAACAGTATGGGGAGGAAGGGGGGGGGGGGGGGGGGTGTCGATCACTTCCGCCAGCTGGGTGCAAACTACCTCTGCCCACCTAGATCCTATAATTGGTACCTGCCATTCTTTTATTTATTTATTTATTTATTTTTAGTTGACACTGCTCTGGTCAGTGAGCATTTAAGCTGCAACACTGCCAGCTCTACATATAAGAAAACCCCAAAGAGGTTCATGCAGAATGTCAGTCTTGCTTTAACTGGATCTGCTGTTCTTCGGCACAATGTAACATCTTCAAGATCACACATCACAGCATAACGACTTACTGAGCGCCATTTTTTTTTAGACATGAAAGCCAAGGTACAAACTAGACTGTAAAGTGTGTAAGGCTGCAGGTAAAAGAAGCTAGACTTGCATATACTGCTCAGATTGCAGTACACCTCTATGCTTGATACCATTTTTCAAGCTATACCATACAGTTGAAGACTATCAACATTCCTGACAAAGACACAGGACTACTGCAACAGCTTTAATTCCAGTTAATGAGAAAAAGTAGTTCCGACTTTAACTAGAGGTGCTTTTATATATAATCAAGCATTTATAAATTCTCATTGTAACTTGACAAATAAACACAGTAAACGGAGATGATTTTTTTCACTTTATTTACATAATGATTTGCTTTTCATGTTGAAATTTTTGGTAAATCGTTAAATAATTGCTCATTTTTAGCTTTTTTTTTGTTCGCCGCCAACCATGTCCCCTACATTTAATGGCACTGAAATTAAACAGATTCATTAAGAACTGAACAAATATGATGGTTTTATAACATCTCCTGAAATTTCTATTAATAGCCAAACAAATTCAAGATGGCCACCATGATTTTGTGACATATTTGCATAATACATCTTTTTTCATGAGTAGCAACCATTTATAGTGGTGCTCAAAAGGTTTCAAACCCTGTGTTTATATTTGATTTTTTTAATGAATTTATTAGAAAACCAGTCAGTTTTACAAAATTCTCCAAACACCCTTGATAATGGGAGACAGTAATGCCCTGGATTGCTGGTGAGCAAAGTGTTAAAGGGTTGACGAAATATCAGCAGAAATCTCATTTGTCACAGAGGTTCAGTGTTGAGAATATATAAAGGTTTGCCTGTGACCAAGAGATAATTTGTCAATATCATGAGAGTTGGTTCCTGTTGATTACTCGGTATCTGTTGCATAGGGGTTATGAATATGCTTTCTAGTTCCACAATACTTAGTTTGATTCCAGCTGCAAGCAGTTTAAAAGCAGACTGCTTTGTGTTGTGCTCTGACAAATGGTCATTCAGAAAGCAATGGCAAACTACTAAACATAAATTTCCTTAGAAAAACAACAGACTGCCAACACCTGCTGGGGTTGGTGTGCAGCACCATGTAATGGTGTAATGGATATGCAACTAATATTATTACAAAGTTTTATTTTGTCTTTTGTCTTCGCATTCACCGGCTGTAAACTTCGGTGGAAAGTTATGATTGTTTGTCTACATTTGAACTGCAGCCCTGTTTTAGAACCTGAGCGTTGCTTGCACATCCATTTTAAGGCTAATGTGTATGCAGACTGTTGGTTCCTACCTCTCAGATAGATGCTCTCCGACTTCAAAGGGTAGGCAGCGGGTCTATTCTTGTTTACCCCACAATAGGGCCATAGAACCCACACAGGATATTGTGTCTCATATTGTGTGCATACATGGGGATATTGTGTCTCATCTTGTGTGCATACACAGGAATATTGTGTCTCGTCTTGTGTGCATACACAGGAATATTGTGTCTCGTCTCATCTTGTGTGCATACACGGGGATATTGTGTCTCGTCTCATCTTGTGTGCATACACGGGGATATTGTGTCTCATCTTGTGTGCATACACGGGGATATTGTGTCTCATCTTGTGTGCATACACGGGGATATTGTGTCTCATCTTGTGTGCATACACGGGGATATTGTGTCTCGTCTCATCTTGTGTGCATACACGGGGATATAGTGTCTCATCTTGTGTGCATACACAGGGATATTGTGTCTCATCTTGTGTGCATACACAGGGATATTGTGTCTCATCTTGTGTGCATACACAGGAATATTGTGTCTCATCTTGTGTGCATACACAGGAATATTGTGTCTTATCTTGTGTGCATACACAGGGATATTGTGTCCCATCTTGTGTGCATACATGGGGATATTGTGTCTCATCTTGTGTGCATACATGGGGATATTGTGTCTCATCTTGTGTGCGTACATAGGGATATTGTGTCTCTTCTTGTGTGCATACACAGGGATATTGTGTCTCATCTTGTGTGCATACACAGGGATATTGTGTCTCATCTTGTGTGCATACACAGGGATATTGTGTCTCATCTTGTGTGCATTCTGTTCAGGTACTGTGGACGGACAGGCCGTGTGATAATTTCCATCTCATCATCTCTCTGGCGATCCTGGACTCGGAGAAATCAACCTTGATGGAGAATAAGTTTGGGTTCACTGAGATCCTGAAGGTATGTGTCTCTAGGCATTGATTCTTTTCTTTTCTGTTTTCTTTTCTTTTTGTGGCCTTTCTTACTTTCCACAACATGAGACAGATATTGAGCACAAGTGTGGTCTGAAGTTCTTCATACCTAACACATGAAAAAATGTTTAAAGTCAAATAAATTCATTTCATTGCACCATGGTTTTATTTGAAATGGGCAAGAAGAACAGAAATACTGACACCCTAAAAGATCTGAACAAAAGGAAGATTGGTTACTAAAGAGCATTGTGTCTCAGAAACTGAAATATTTTGCCTATATCAGTTGCCACGGCGGATTTGAGAAAATAAAAGCAGACAGCGTGGTGCCAGGAATGAAGGGCAGGGGCCAACCAGCATGAAGGTGGGCACAGGATATAAGTGACACCTTGGGTGGGAAAGTGCAGGAGAGATGGAGAGACTGAGTTTCTTTCAGATAGATCGTGATGAGAGCCACGTTCTGTAAAGGATCTGCCATGTGATGATGTTGGTCAAATCCCTCTTTGAAGTCAAACTCATGACCTTCAGACCTCAAGGCAAATGGCTTAACTCTTGCACCACAGCCTTCATTAAGGGCTGTGGCGTTCTCATCTGGAAACCAGTGGCTGAACTTGGCTATCATCATGGTGTGCCTGAAGAAAAAACTTGGTCTTTCGCCAGCTCTCCCACCTCCTGCACTTGCCTACCCAGAGTATCATTTATATCCTATGCCCATCTTCGTTTTGGTTGGTTAATCTTTCTCTGCTGTGAATAAATGTTTTTCAGCTTTTCTGGTTAGTGGCTATGATATTTCTATGAATAAGGAAAAAACCTGTTCGCATTTCAGTTGGATTTATGAACTTTTTGTGCTTCATTTTTTGTTGATGTAACTATTTAGTAACACACCTGACGAGATACAGTGAAATATGCCTGGCAATAAATTGTACATTTTATTGTTTCTGTCTGTATTATTTCAATTCATTTTGGGAAAAAATTGTTTTTAATATGATATTTCTGTCCATTTCAGCATATCAATGACATCAGCCTGTCTATCCCCCTGGAGGAAACCTTGTGTAAAGCTGAGGGCATCTTCTTACAACTCAAAGAGTACAAGAAGCTGCCCAAGACCATCAAAGAGATCCTAGGCCTGCTTCCAGTCCCAGTGTCGCTCTCCATGGAAAACAGCATGTTCATGACCGCAAGCTCTCACCAGGATGTCAACACAGACTCCACCCCAAAAGTGGACACGCCCACACTCATGGCTGGGGGCGTGGCCAGTAGGCGGTCGGATGTGGCCATCAGTAGCTCCTACAGTTCCTGCTCCTCCAGTGGCAGTAGAAATCATATTGACCAGGGAACAAAACTGGTTTCCTAGCGTTTGGCCAGTTAGTTTGTTGTGACATTTCGAGTTGTGACAGCATCACTAGAGACTACTTACGGCACTTGTCTTTCTGAATTGTGTATCAAGAATTTAGAGAGGGGTCATTCTGGACTTTGTATTTCAGAAACAGTTGAAGTACTAGTCAAAGAAGATATCAGGATGGTAGCACCGGTTTTAGCTTTTAATATGAATATGATTTTAGCAGTAGTTGGGATTGTGGATGTTAGCAATATCAGGATTGTAGCAACAGTTATGATTCAAGAGTTTGAAAATATTAAAATTGTATCAATAGTCTGGGTTTGGGAGATTTGTGTGTCTCACTGAGTGAATAAGCATAGGAGATTTGAGTGTATCACATGGAATAAGTGAGGGAGATTTGAAAATCTGACTGAGAGGATAGGTGAGGGAGATTTGAACATATGACTGAGGTATAAGTGAGGGAGATTTGAATATATAACCGAGGAGATACGTGAGGGAGATTTGAATATCTGACTGAAAGAATAAGTGAGGGAGATTTGAATATCTAACTAAGAGAATAAGTGTGGGAGATTTTATTGTCTGACTGAGTGAATAAGTGTTGGTGATTGAAATATCTCCTATAGGGTAGAAGTGGTTTTGAATATATCAAAAGCACACCTTATCTATGAGTGCCAACTAGTACATAATAATTGTTTACCAACACTGAAAGGAAATATGTGGGCACAACAGGCAAGGCATGGGCCACACCAGACAATATATATTATTATTATGTTTGCATGAAATATTTTGAAAATAATTAAATAGTTGACTTTCCTGCTGTTTGAAGGCATGCATTCTGATCTCCTTACTTGTTGTAAATATTTTGAGATAAATTAACTGTGATCTTCTGATCCTAAAGAGTTCCAATACAGAAACTCTTAGTACTATTGGCTGTAAAAGCGAGCATATTATTGATCCAGTGTATGTAAATTATGGGTTGAACAGAATACTGTTGTCTTTCCCCCCTTCAGATTGCTACAGTTACATAACTGACTAGTACAGCATGTGTGAAATGTAAAATACGTTTAATATGGTTTTCTGATGTGGAAAATCGGTGCCATTTGGCTGTAGAAACAAACACATTACTGTCTCAGATTCTAGCGCAACACGTATTTAAACCTTTATGCCGTAAAAAGTACAAGATGTTTTTTTTTTTTAATGTTTCATTCTTTTTAAGTCATCATTTCACAGCCTTGCCAAATACAGCATTTTAGGGGGTGTAATTTTGAAGACATTTTACAGTAAGTGTATGATATTCTCAGGAATTTATTGATTTCATTGATGCTCACAGTTATTTTATAGAACCTGCTAGAAGCCTCCTGTTTGTTGTTTAATGTGTGTTAGCATTTTGTGATCATCATTAAGTGAGTAGCCCATGTATGCAAGACCACTGCTTGCGAGATGAGATGCCTGAGTAAAGCTGCCAACCTGACCATCCGAGATCGAGTGAACAGTGATACTATCAGGCAGATTGTGGGTACGACACCTTATGCAAAATTCATTGAACAACAGCAGATCCAGTGGTTTGGCCATCTCGTTAGAATGCAGCAAGATCAGATACCATCACAAGCACAGAAGATCAGCTACAAGAGCAAGAGGACGGGCGCGAAAAAATTGATCAACAACTTTAAAGACACTTTACGCCTTTATTGCATGACAATAGCCAGAGAAAGACAGCCACTGGATCGCAAATTATTCCTGCCCTATGTCGTTTCTTGGCAGAAGTGGTTTATGATGACGATGATGATGGTTAAGTGAAAAGCATTATATTTCAAAAGGAATTACTGTTGAATCTGCCTTACTGAGTCGCCACCTGTCCTCTCTCTAATCTTTAGGGCACAGTTTTGTGTCTCTTATCAGATGCTAACTCATTGAGCCTGCGTGGCCAGGAAGTCATTACCTTACTGCCATCATACAGGCACTTGTGTGGACACACGATCACTGGGTCCTTGCACTGGAATTAAGGCAGTGTGGGACATTTCAGAATCATACTAAAGGAATAAGACAGCAGGACATTTGAGGACTTCCTGTAGGGAGTAAGACAACATAGATTTGTGAAGATTTCTACAGAGAATTGCCACAAGCTAGAGATTAAATATTTGAGAAAGGCTGCAAATGTTTGTCTAACTAGGCTTAGATGTGAAACTACAACATCAGTAATATGATAGGCTCAACATGTCACTTGAATTCACAGAGAAACAACAAATACAGTGGTTTGTACAAATTCTGAGATGAAACCTTGTCAGCAACTGATTTAGAGCCAACCAGAAAAATGACCAAGACTTGGACGGAAAGACAGCTTTAGAAATACTTTTAACCAACATGGATATGTCCTAGCCAGGGCGACTTATCTGGACTAGGAATGCAAGCTGGACAACCCAGCATTTAATGTCACTGGTGATTATGAAGAGGGACATTAGCCAGCTGGGGCTAGACACAAGACAACAGCACTGAGACAGTGGAACATTGGGAGTATCTCACGGGGGGGGGGGGGGGGGGGATTTGAGTACCACACTGAGGGACTGGGAGATTTGAGTGTCTTGCTGAGGGAGTAAGTGTGGGGGATTTGAGTATCTCACTAAGGTAGTAAGTAGGGGGGGGGGGGGGGGAGTTGAGTATCTTATTGAGGGAGTGAGTATAGGAGATGTGAATATTTGACTGAGGGAATATGGGAGATTTGAGTATCATCTTGCTGAGGAAATAAGTGGGGGAGATTTGAGTTTGTCACAGAGGGAAAAAGCATGGGAGATTTTACTTTCTCACAGAGGGAATACATATGGACTTTGAGTATCATTTAGAAGGAAGACCTATGGTTAAAAATGGGGAGGGGGAGAGGGGGTTGTTGTTGAGTAAGGAGGTGTTTTGGGCAGTCTCAGAAACGATTAAGACAGAATGTGGCAATTTAGAAAAAATAAGATAATGTAGAAAATTAGGGAACCTCACAGAAGGAATAAGACTGGGACATTTAGGGATCTTAGGGAGAATAAAGCCATGTTAGAGATTTGAGAAGTTCACAGAGGAAATAAACATGGCATTTTAAGACATGCATGGAAAGCACAGTCAAATCAAGTCAACATAGAACAGTTCACAATGTCAAACAAGACTTTTTGGCCTTGGAGGGCTTGTTAAGACCAGTGTCAGACTATTTGGCATTGGAGGACTTGTTAGGACCAGAGTCAGACTAACTATTTGGCATTGGAGGACTTGTTAGGACCAGAGTAAGACTATTTGGCTTTGGGGGACTTGTTGGGTCCAGAGTAAAACAGACTATTTGGCTTTAGGGAGCTTGTTAGGACCAGAGTCAAACAGACTATTTAGCATTGGAGGACTTGTTAGGACCAGAGTCAAACAGACTATTTGACATTGGAGGACTTGTTAGGACCAGAGTAAGACTATTTGGCTTTGGGGGACTTGTTAGGACCAGAGTCAAACAGACTATTTGACATTGGAGGACTTGTTAGGACCAGAGTAAGACTATTTGGCTTTGGGGGACTTGTTAGGACTAGAGTCAAACAGACTATTTAATATTGGAGGACTTGTTAGGACCAGAGATCGGAAGAGTTTGATGCACTAATGATTATATGCATTGAGTCTATTTAGTTGCATTGTTTTTAGATTTTAATTTTCATTTAAAATAGCTGTGCCCATTTTAGTGTCTGTTTTTTACTGTCTTTGTCCCCCTAATCTGCTCACCCTCTTAACTTACTTTTTTTTTACTTCCTTGTCTGCTTAAACCCTTATCCTTCTTGTTCTCCATCTTTCTTTCTATCTGTCCTTCTTTTCACTATCTCACTCCTTCTCTCCCCCCTAACCCCCTCTTTTTTTTTTTTGTTCTGCTCTTTACTTTTAACTGTCCCCTTATCTTTCTGCATTCCCCACACTTTCCAGCTCTTCCATCTCGCCCCCCATCCCCCCCATCCCCATTTTGTTGTTGTTCCTCTTTGACTTTATTCTTCTCTTTCTTGTTTCTCTCCCATCTATTTTGTATATAAAGTGAATTGATACATGATAAATTATCTGAGCTAATGAATAAGTATGTCTGAATGTTTTGCATTCCAAGAACTTGATTTTATCTCTCAGAAGAGATGAATAGACATTAAGCATATCATAGGGAAATTATTTTCTCATTGTCCTCCCTTTGTCAGAGGTTTTGCATACTTATTTTCTCTCTTTCTTGTAGCCATGTGTGTACCCTGCCAGTATAGTCACACCTGTATGTGTCTGTTTGTGACAGGTCTCAGGTAAAGATGACCAGATTTCTTTTTACAACAAGACTTTGTCTCTTCTGAAAACTTGACCAGGTCTCTTCTTAAAACTTGACCAGGTCTCTTCTAAAAACTTAACCAGATTTCTTGAAAACTTTGACCAGTTGTCTCTGAAAACTTGACCAGTTCTCTTGAAAACTTGACCAGTTCTCTTGAAAACTTGACCATGTCTCTTCTGAAAACTTGACCAGGTCTCTTCTGAAAACTTGACCAGGTCTCTTCTGGAAACATGACCAGGTCTCTTCTAAAAACTTAACCAGATCTCTTGAAAACTTGACCAGTTGTCTCTGAAAATTTGACCAGTTCTCTTGAAAACTTGACCAGTTTTCATTCCATGAAAACTTGTACCAGTGATCTTTTTTCTAAAACATTGACCAATGGTCTCTTTCTGAAAACTTGACCAGGTCTTTTCAGTAAACTTGACCAGGTCTCTTCTGAAAACTATGGCAGATTCTTTTTTAAAAACATGACTAGTTCTTTTCTGAAGGTTAGATCATTTGTTAGATCATGTATCTTCTAAAAACTTATCTACCAATTTTTTAAGACATGCTAGCTATCTTCAGCAGCCATGACCATTTCCATTCCATCAAATACTTGTAACAGTGATGTTTATAGTGTCTAATATTCATTGTCCCAGATGGTGTCTTATAGCACTCGTGGTGGCTCTTAATTTCATTTCTAGTTTGAATGAAATTCATTCCATTGTCTGGC